TGTCATAATTTCAAGTGCTGTCAAGAACAAACATGATAGGAAACGTCTTGGAGAACGCATCCCACGCGGTCTTTGATCGATGTTACTACTCGAAGGAGAAACTAAGACTGAGCGGCTCTCTGTCGAAGTGCAATCACACAGCTCAGTCACCAGACTCACCACTACACCAGGTCACACTGATACTGACAGTCTGTGCTGGCTAGCTAGCATGCTACCAGGGAGTCCCGACTCCCTGCATGCTACGGTATTATGTACTCACCTGTACGGAACACAGGCCAGTGAAAGGTGCGAAAACTCGCAACATCGCCGCATCATGTACTGGTACACACCAGTACAGTTTACGCTACACTACATCCAGTGAGTCGACATATCGCTTCCGGTGTATAAAAAACTTGATTTTCTCTCTCTCCAAGTGTTGTATGATCTGAAAGAAGAATGTCAGTGCGCAAGTGGTGGGGGATTGTATTATCTGCATTTTGACATACATATCATATAATGGGATCCATATATGGTCGCGCGGTGCAAACCCCTAACTAAAGACCGCCTGCCACTAGCGACCACTTTTCCGGGCACCAAGGGGTGGTCGTTAGTTACAGGTTTTACTGTAGTTTGATATGGGGCTGTGCTAAGCGCTATCACAGCTACATGTACATGTATCAAAACCAAGTACCAACAGGAGAGTAATCATGGCGAAAAGCCCTGATCGATAATGCGTGCACCCAGGGCTTTCCGGCAAATACACTAGTTCAGCTATTCCATCCTTGTGTTGTTCTAAATGCTGAGGGCTCTAGCAAGTTTATGCAACACCTAACAGCCAAAACTCCAATAAATTATGACCAAAGCAGCAGTAGAGAAGTTTATAGATACGTGAATTTACCAAATTTAGACTTATTTCGAGAGTTTTTTGGGTTTTCTCCAGAATATGCACGGTGACCCCTATTTTCGCCGTGGTAAACCTGTTTCGACCCACTTATAGAACGTATTTGAAGTATCCACATATGGGGCAAACTCAAAAATAAGCTGCAAAAATATTCAAAGTTTCATTTTTGCGTCTTTTTGTTCTTTTCCAGGAAATGACGACCTGGATCCCACATTTTTTTGGTGTTGATATCATCTTAGTCAATACCTCCAACAGTCTGTATAATTTTATGTCATATTTTCTGTCTTATCTGGTGTTATGGACGACTTCTCATCAATTTTGGAATTTTGCAATATTTTGTGTTATCAAGGAAAATTGTGTTTTTGGCAAGACCTATTCAGGCAATTGAAAACTGATGTTACTAAGCGAAAATATAAGGCTGTACCTATGCAAACCTGATGTCAGATTGGGCAGATGTTGAAGTTATATTTTTGGGCCTAACTGTCCCGAACCCCCTTAATTAAGTTGACAAAAATGAAATGGAAATAATTATGCATGCCAGAAAGTCACTCCTCTTCAGTGATGGCAAGACCTGGATGAAGCGAAACAAGGATAGCACATTCGATTTGGGCTCCTTCGACGGGGCAGAAGTGTGCGAGCTCGTGGGATCATTCTTGCTCAATCAGTTCTCCAGCCATTTCGAAAGGACACAATAGGGCTATACCGAGACGACGGCCTCGCCCTATTGAAAAACGCAACCGTCTCTTGTCAGTCGTTGTAACTGGTGGTCCCGGACACGACGTAAAACTGTGCCCAAAAGAAAAGCAGAAAACAGAAGGATGGAAGGTGAAGACAAGAGGCTGCAGTGTGAGGATGTCGACGCTGAGTAGCGCTCCTTGAGATGGCGGACGACATGGCAGACGGCGTGAGGAGTTTCGTTGGTGAGAGGGTACGTGTGTTGTTGTGAACGTGATGAGTATGTGAGTTGTGTATTTTCTGTTCTCCTCAATTTTTTCGTTTATTAATTTTATCAGTTGCTCTCCTCGAGGACGAGGGTAATTTTCTTATTTGCTCTTGATCCGAGATGATGAGTACTAAAGCCGCTTCCACAGATCGCAGCTCGTGGGTTTTACTTTATTAGTCTCTTTGTATTATTTTGTCCTCTCACATTTTAGAATTTTTGCGTGATTGGTGAGGTGGCGCGAGTGTGATGTTGTATGCATTTCCCACGATTGTGTTCCAGCGCGTGAGCTGAAGGTCTGGTTGGTGGGCAGACAGGGTGAATGGCAGATGGTCTCTGGCTGCTGTGTTTTGCTGCGATACATTTTTGCGTGATTGGTGTGGTCTGCTCGCATGGCTAGTGTGATTTATTTTTCTTCTGTTATTATTTTTTGGAATCAGGAACGATTCAGCCTTTTGAGGAGGCAGCAGTGTATACATTAATTTTTGTGTTATGATCTTGTTTGTTTTCCGAGGACGGAAAATTATTTGAGGGGAGCAGTGTAGTAGACGGATTTTCTACCGTATCATACCATATTGTATTATCGTACAGTCAAACCTCGTTAGTATGAACACTGATAAGGCGAACTTTCCATTAGTACAAACTAAGGCCAATCCTATGGTTGGCCAGGCATCATATCCAGTCAAAATTATTCGTTTACGACGAACTCCTGTATGGCGAACTTTCGCGAAGACGAACTATTTTCAAGTGTGATTTGAATAAAATCAGCGCGTAGTACGAACTTTGGGTGCGTGCGCGTGCGCTGGCTGTCTTTTTTTCTTTCTTTTTTCGATAGCCGGGTCCATACATTGATTGTACGCACATAGATCTACGTAGTGAACCGTAGTAGACGCACTGACGTGCGTGCTTTCTAGGCCAAGCTTCGGCGTACACTGTTCGCGTCGATGATCGAGTTGTGAAGTGTTTTGTGCACCAAAGAGCGTTGATCCGTAGAGGGTGGTGGCGTTCCTGCGGATGCGGAAAACTCGGCTTTCACTGGCTCCGACCGAGTCCCACACGAACCGTGAACTTTTTTATAAAGTATGGATGTTGAGATGCTGTGCTTCACATGCACACTCGTAATCACTCATATTCTATCTATGGTTTATCGTAATGTATTTGTTTGTATATGGAAGCACAGTCACGAATTGTAGCACATTGTCTGTTTCTGGCTCATGCTGAGAATAAATGCTTCCCATTTACCACAGTATGCACCTTCACGTAAATGCAATCCATATGATATGCATATCGATTTTTTGTCAGATCTGGATAAGAAGAACTCCCGATAAGACAAACAAATTTGTTCAGTCCCTTGAAGTTCGTCCTAACGAGGTTTGACTGTATGTTATTTTGTGTACGTCATGTGTACGTCATGTGTACGTCATGTGTACGTCGTGTGTACGTCATGTGTACGTCGTGTGTACGTCATGTGTACGTCGTGTGTACGTCGTGTGTACGTCATGTTGGTGTATGCGCGTGTTGCTGTGGTATGAAAAGCAGTCTTCGTCTTGAGTTCATCATGTCTTCGTCTTGAGTTCTTCATGTCTAGTTTTGTTTCATCGTCGTGTCAATAAACAATCTTCTAAATGTAGTTATCGTCCTCCTCATCCGCACTATCCACTCTACAAACGTCAGTAACCAGCCGACTATGCTCATGTGACTTTTGCACCCTAAAATGCTCGATTTAGTGCCGGCATATTTGCCGGGTCCCTAACTGTGACATGATCTGAAGCGAGCACACACGTGTGAGCCTAGAGCCCTCCACATCACCAATAACACTCTAACAGTTCTGAAGGATTACCGTCACACCCTGGCTGCGGTTTATAGATTCATACCTTCCATTTCTATATTCACTAGCAATTTACTAGTGTTGAGTATAGCTTTCACTCAATTCTCCAGACACAACGGACAACGGGACAGGCAGGTAGAACGACATTTATTTGGGTAGACGAAGAGACGGAGACAAAGACGAACTACTACGACTACATTATGGGAGAGAGAGCGAGTCGACAGGAGAGCATGCAAGATAAAGGGCCTGGGTAGCTATGGCAAATATGGGCGTGCAAGTAGCTACCCAGGCCAACGGAACGAAAGGTGAGAACGAATACTACGAATACGATGCGTACAATTACAACTACATGCATGCAGGCCAGCCAGAAAAGGTATGGGAGGAGCTACCTAACACTATCGATCTATACTTTCTGCGCTAATAGCTCCCTCACCTAAGCAACCATCCACACGGCCATCATGGCAATATTTTCTGTGCTGAATCAGACACCAACAAGCTATCGCGAGGCTATGCTTTATATGGGCCAAGTCCCACTGAACATGTAATAGTTGCCTGATGATTGCATTGAGCAAGAAACTCTGAGTTGCGACAAATCAGTAAACCTTCGTTGTGCCTATTGTGTGTAGAAAAAGTAAGAAAAAGCTTGATGGACGATCACTTAGCTCTGTCACCTTCGACGCTTGCCGTTGTTCACTTCCTGGTCTTCCTCGTTTCCTCTTGTTGATCGTTGTTGTCACTTCCAGTACCGACGTATTCAAATCTCCAGTACTTCGTCTCTTCACCTTGCTTCTGGTAACTCTTCCGGTGTCTGTGAGCTTCAGTGTCACATTGGGCGTTGATTCGCCGCACCGACCCACGCATGAGCTGCAGTGGTCCTTGTAGCCAGGTAGGGGAGCCGCTCACAGGTGTCCAACAGAGGTGACTTGGCACTGCTCTGGAGTAGCAGATGGGGCACATCCTGGCATTCATGGACTGCCAGTTCGCTTGCTCACTGCCAACACGTGGCTCTCACCGGGAGAGAGGGGAGACACTCACAAAGGAATCTTGGAACGATGACTCAGTTGGCTATTGAGCCGCGCAATGTTCAAAAGCCCCTGAAATCCCCAAGCTTTGGGTGGACTCGGAGCTGATCCCACTTATGGGCTCAGCACATCTCCGGCAGTAAGTGGGCGAGGACAAGGTGTAGAAAAAGAAATGACGGCATCAGTGTGTGTGCGTCCCATGTTCCAACTGGAGTTACCCCTGCCCCCAGTGAAAGTAATACGTCGTACAATACTGGTGTAGGTGGGTAAATCAGAGTGGGCACACACACGCACGCACGCACACACAGACACACACATTTTAATACTCACACTGCTCGATCACTTGCTCTTCGAACTGCACGTTGTTCTGTGAGATACACTGGTATTGCCCACCATCTGTGATCCTTTGATACTTTTGATCGCGCTGGTATATTCCTGTTTCAAGTAATCTTCTGCCGGAGAGCTTGTTCACTACAGAGCACAGAGCATGACTTGGTCCAGAAATTCTGGGCAACGTGCTGCTATGGATGATATCCGCCTTGTTACAGTTGAATTCGTCCTTCAAATTCTTGTCTATGTACTGGTTTTCAACATCAACGCGCGTGTAATGATGATGAAGACTGCCGCTCTCCGTCGATGTATCATAGCTTAATGTGCCACTGTGACAGGCTGCTGAATGTCCTAATTCGTAAACCATGTTCAAAGGCTGGTTAAGACGGGAAGAAGTGTGGGTTCGCCAAAGGTTGTTCTCCAAATCCAATACACTCTGCTCGAAAAAGCCGTGGCGGGATACATGTGTGAAAACTGCAGTAAACAATAAATATTATCAAACAAACAAACAAACACCAGACAAACAAATAAACAAACACCAGACAAATACTAGCTAGTAAAGTTCGCACATTCGCGGTACCACCGGCTTACGATTGGGTAGGGAGACACGACCGGCTTAGAGAAATTTCGCTCGTTCCAGGCCCTCGACCATGCCTGACTATACCAGGGTGGCAGATTTTTATTTATTTTATTTTTATAGATGCAGCGAGTCATAAGGGGCCGTCCAAGGTGACCAATAGTATTTTCAAAACGAAAAGTTTTCGTTTGGGGGTGGGTGGGTTTGAAGGAGTTTCGTTTTGAAAATAATTATTGAATGCAGATGGAGAATTCATTGCATTCCCAACTCATCACAACCACGCGCTCTTCAGCCGAACCATACAGACACCAGCAAGGACACTTCCGTTGAGAGATAATATTGCTCCACGCCTCTAGACAGCTGTTTCGCTCCCTGTCGGAGCTCATCAGTAGAGGATGATATTGATGATAATGGAGGAATGATCATTCTTATACACCAGAAATGGCGCAAGTGCGCGCTTTCCACATAATATCAATGGCATATGCAAGCTGCTAAAATGGTAAAGTGTGAGAACAGCGATAAATAATCATAGTACGCGCTCATTGGTGGAGAAACACACCACACAAGCGACGAAAATCTTACTCGGAATACTGATGCCAATGGAAAGTACATGTATGTTGTTTATTATTATGATGTTGCAATGTCCATGTATGCAGGCGAGGCGAGACTCACCGCCGAGATCCCCCAACGCGACAGGCTCGGTTGCCGTTCAGGATTCACACCGACCTGTCCGCCCGTCAACAGGATCGACAGCGGGAGGCCCCACTGATGCCGATGTCGATGCACACCAGGAAACTTGTAGATTTTCTTGTAGATTTTCGTCGCTTGTGTGGTGTGTTTCTCCACCAATGAGCGCGTACTATGATTATTTATCGCTGTTCTCACACTTTACCATTTTAGCAGCTTGCATATGCCATTGATATTATGTGGAAAGCGCGCACTTGCGCCATTTCTGGTGTATAAGAATGATCATTCCTCCATTATCATCATTATCATCCTCTACTGATGAGCTCCGACAGGGAGCGAAACAGCTGTCTAGAGGCGTGGAGCAATATTATCTCTCAACGGAAGTGTCCTTGCTGGTGTCTGTATGGTTCGGCTGAAGAGCGCGTGGTTGTGATGAGTTGGGAATGCAATGAATTGAAAATATGGCCGAAAGCTCTGTCGCAATATTTAGTTCAGATGGAGAATACCCAGTTAATTCTGGGTGTCGAAAATTGACATCAATATTTTATTGCGATCAACAGAACGAGCTGAACCGACATTTCACAAAGGCTTTTATTGTATTCAAAAAACGAGTGGATACGAAGGCAGTGAAGAACATGGAAGAAAGAAAAAATGTGATATGGAGAAAATGATGAACAAAAAATCGTACTTCGAACTAGTTTTCGCACAACACTCCTCAGGAAGCTACGTTGTACTAATGAAAAACAATCCAGAAAGATACTAATAAAGAGAAATGGAGTGAGAAGAAACAACACCTATGAAAATGATAATCCTAGCACTAAGGTAATAACAGGAAAAACTGCGAAAGCACTTAACGAACTTGTAAAGACTACTAGTATACTGTGACACAAGATATGACACCATGGCCAACCAGGGCCAAACAGACAGAACAAGCTGCTACTAGAACAATTTCAAACGAATAATGCTGTCCTTCTGGACACACAGATTAGGCTTATGAATAAGTTGACAAACAGCTTCTAACACACTCAACTGCAACTTATAACCATGACGAGCACGGCACAAAACAGAAAAAGAAGAATCAGAATACACCTTGCAGCAATCAGGACGAGATACAAGATGCTTATACACTGATGACTTCCTACTAGAAAACACACGCTCGCACCCACTCTTACTCACACAATCATTCTCGCTCTCACACTCACCGGACTCACTGGACTCACTGGCCGAATCCTCCTCAACGACGTCCTGCCTTGGAGCAATCAGGTCCCGTCTCCTCCCATCCCTCGTCTCACGCTCCTGTTGTGCATTCCGTTGGCTCTGTACTTCCGTACTGAAATAGGTCATGGTGTAATTCGCAGTTGTTCTTCTGGGTCTTGTTGATATTGAGGTAGGTATTGTTCATCAAGCAACACACTCCTTTACACATTATCCCACGTAGCGCACAACTGGAGCGTCCCACGCGGGGAAGACCCCGTAAACAACCACTACCTACGCCAGCACAGGACCTAGCGTCTCACTCGGCAAGTCCACCATTGGCTCCCGTGGCCATGACCAAGTCACTCCCTCCACCAGCGGAGGTGGATGTGGCTTTGGCGACGCCACGTGTGTTGCATGCAGACACGTTTGCGTCATCATCGCTTGCTGCATCACCGGCAGAGACGACAAAAATACCTACCTCAATATCAACGAGACCCAGAAGAACAACTGCGAATTACACCATGACCTATTTCAGTACGGAAGTACAGAGCCAACGGAATGCACAACAGGAGCGTGAGACGAGGGATGGGAGGAGACGGGAACTGATTGCTCCAAGGCAGGACGTCGTTGAGGAGGATTCGGCCAGTGAGTCCAGTGAGTCCGGTGAGTGTGAGAGCGAGAATGATTGTGTGAGTAAGAGTGGGTGCGAGCGTGTGTTTTCTAGTAGGAAGTCATCAGTGTATAAGCATCTTGTATCTCGTCCTGATTGCTGCAAGGTTTATTCTGATTCTTCTTTTTCTGTTTTGTGCCGTGCTCGTCATGGTTATAAGTTGCAGTTGAGTGTGTTAGAAGCTGTTTGTCAACGTATTCATAAGCCTAATCTGTGTGTCCAGAAGGACAGCATTATTCGTTTGAAATTGTTCTAGTAGCAGCTTGTTCTGTCTGTTTGGCCCTGGTTGGCCATGGTGTCATATCTTGTGTCACAGTATACTAGTAATCTTTACAAGTTCGTTAAGTGCTTTCGCAGTTTTTCCTGTTATTACCTTAGTGCTAGGATTATCATTTTCATAGGTGTTGTTTCTTCTCACTCCATTTCTTTTCATTAGTGTCTTTCTGGATTGTTTTTCATTAGTACAACGTAGCTTCCTGAGGAGTGTTGTGCGAAAACTAGTTCGAAGTACGATTTTTTGTTCATCATTTTCTCCATATCACATTTTTTCTTTCTTCCATGTTCTTCACTGCCTTCGTATCCACTCGTTTTTTGAATACAATAAAAGCCTTTGTGAAATGTCGGTTCAGCTCGTTCTGTTGATCGCAATTCTAAAACTATTGTCGCCTCGACGCCTATTTAAATATTTTATTGGAATTTGTTTTACCTGCAGAAAAGGTAGGTGGGTGGGTGGGTGCTGAAAAATACTAAAGCTTTTCGTTTCGCGAAAACTATTGGTAGCCCCGGACGGCCAATAAGCGGCAAGGGTGAGGCGGTAAGTCTCACGGCCAATGACCGATAAGGGGGGGGGGGGGAGGGGAGAGACCTCGGTAGTTGCATCTAGGTTACCCTTACTTCCAGTAGTGAGTGACCAGCTGAGCGTGGGTGTCAGCCAATTACTCTAAAAGCCATAATATATAACGAAGTCCTAACTCTAACGAGTTAACGAGGAGAAATCTGTCGTCAAAATAGAAATCGTTACACAGAAATCGACACACATACTGTCCTATTGAGCGTTGAGAATGCGTGAGAATCGTTACCTTTGGTAAACGTAAACTAGTCAATTTTGGGAAATCGTTATATATGCGCCTCGTTAGAATAATGGCTTTTACAGTAGCCTGTACTTCCCCACAAGCAAGCGCATGGGGGCTTATCTGTGAAAATTTGCTACAAAAAAGATATGTTTTTGCTGTGTGAACATGTTCAGGCAGAAGCCCATGCGCTTATACGTGCAATAAAAGTTTGTCTGTGTCCTAAACAGCGGTGTTATCACAATGCTTAGCAGTATATTCAGCTCCCGGGTGTTTCACCAATAGTGTTCACATATAAGCGCATGTGCTTATAATTGGGGGGGGGGGGGGGTGCGCTTATGTCCAGACATACTGTATTCACTCGATTAGAAGCTGAGGTGTTGTCCCTGCCCTTTTGCAGGGTATGTGCCCCTTTTGGCACGTGTGTGCTGGGTACGCGTGGTCGGTGTGCGGACTGCGCAGGTTGCGCATGCCTGCATATTATTGTACGCATTCTTGTTGTTTGTGGCCTTCTTCTTGAGACTCTCTTTGGAGCAACAACAATAATCTGTTCTCTGAGTGTGGCGTACGTGTGATAAGAGATATCGAGAGTAATCGGAAGGGCTATCGTCGAGGCATAATACCCCCCGGCGACAGAGGGCTTCTATTTTTTCAACACCAATTTTGAGGAGGCTTCGTAGGGGCTTTTATTTCGAGGGGCTTCCATTCAAGAGGGGCTTCTATTGTTTCACTTCATACCAGTTTTCCAATCGAATCTCTTAAACTTTCATATTCACAGCAACTCGGCCCCGAGTTAGTTTGAACACACTACGTCGACCAGGACATGTACCGATATGAACATGCACGGGATGTTCTTTTCACACTTGACCGTCATACATGGCACTACCTGGTCACCTCATGCTTTGCGAATAGTAGTCCGGGCTTCTATTCGAGAGGGGCTTGAATTTTTTCAAACAGTCCTTATAGGAAAGCTATTAGGGAGGTTTCGCTCTACGTAATTACGCATGAAAATCCGTATGTCGTACGCGCCGGGGAGCGAGGCCAACTTTCATACATAAATCTCTCTACGGATTTCCGTAGGAAAGCTGTTTCCTACGTTGGATCCTCCGTAGGACTTTTTGGTACACATACCGTACACCACGTGCAAAAAAAAAGGGAAACGCGGTTTCGGTTCATGGTGCATGCGGCGGGCGCATGCAGCCAACGCGTCTCCAAAGCAACACGGCATGTTTAGCAGTCGTGGAGAAATCATGTAGAGCGAAATTCAACAGCTCTGATTTTTACGTATGAAAATTCCGTGCAGTTCCTACGTTATTTTCATACGTAATTCCGTAGAGCGAAACCTCCCTATTATTCAACAGGGGCTTTTATTCGAGAGGGGTTTCTAATAAAGCGAGTACGGTAAGCACATGCGCTTTTTTGTGTGGAAGCAGGGTAAAACAGAACACATAATTATAGAGAAAGGAACTTCTCTCTTCACCTGCAGAAAGGGTGGGTGGGGGGTTAAAAATACTAAAACGTTTTGTTTCGCAAAAACAATCGGTAACCCCGGACAGCCCCTAACACAGCGAGGTGTAACTTGGACCTTCCTTGAGTTAGAATCGAAAAGATATCACTGTTGTCTGTGACCTCTGCGAGCTCAACCAGGGACACTACGTCCTCGGCGGAGGTGTGCCCTGCCCCCGGGTGGCTATGCTGCCCTTGAGGAGGGTCAATTAGACCTCGAGTGGCGGGGTTGGTAATGTAGATATTGAATACCCTGGATACTCCCAGTTTGTTTTGTTCCGTCTTTCTCTTCTCTTTTCTTTTCTTTTTTGCTTAGTTTCTCCATCGCCGAGCCGGCCATGGTGTTGGACCTCATCGAGGCGTGGAAGGTTTTTTCAATTCGCTTCCCGAGGACCTGCGTCCGGCTTCGTTTCCGGCCGCACCCCAGCCGGTGATGCCTGCAGCGCCAGCGCCAGCGGTGCCTCGCCGCCGACAGTCCCGACGCTCTCGCCGGAGGCGCCGGGCCCGCCGAGCGTTGCGCTGCCCTCGCTGCTCCGTCGCCGACTGGTGGCGTGCCGGACAGTCACCCTCCCCCTGCCACTGTGGGGTCGGACCTGGTCTCCCTCGTTGAGGTTCATTGCCTTACTGAATTTGCATGATTTCTCTTGCTTTCGAATTTTTTGTTCGGCGTTTTCTTTGGGTGAGTGGTGTCCTAGGTTGGTGCTGTTCTGGAAAAGATCCCGGTGGTGTGACTGATGATTTTTCTTTCTTTCATATCTAGCTTGCAAGTGGTGAGTTTCGGAGAGAAAAGAGCAGTATGTGGCATGTGGCCTCTAATTTCCTAAAAACTTTGAAATTCTCCGTGAAGTCCAAATTTAAAATTGCTATTTATGTTGTCCATATTTCATTTCTTTCGTCTTCCTGTCCTCTTCTCCTGTCTGTCTTCTCGTTTTGTTTTTTCATCTCTCCCATCGTCAGGAGAGGATGATTTTTTTCGTGCGGCCGTATGTTGTCCTTGACCTCTGCGAGGTCGGTCCTCATCTGGCGCATGTCTTCTGTGTGTGCTGTGTCCGCGCCAGCGGCGTGTGAATGCGCCGCAGAGCGCATGCACCCTTTACTTGTGTGTATGCATTTTGTTCCCAATGGCCTTCTTCTTGAGACTCTCGTCAAAACAACAACTAACCTGTCCTCTGTGTCTGAGTTTACACGTGAGAGTAGTCAGAAGAGCACAGTGTCCGGGCGGAACTTACGACAACTAGCACTGCCCGACAAATGATGCTTGATGAACGATGTGCGATCTCCTAACCCCGTCACCTTTGACCCTTGCCGTTGTTCTCCTCCGTTGGGCTTGTTTGTTTTGCTGCTCCGGTTAACACCTCCAAAGTTAAATCCATGGTCGTTTTTGTTGGACTTCTTTGTTTTCCTCTTGTTCAATGTTGTTGTTGCTTCCAGTATCGACGTATTCAAATCTCCAGTACTTCATCTCTTCACCTCAGTGTCAAACAGCGCCAGGCGCCCCCAACATCTACTCCCACCTGCTAGAGCCAGCACACACACCCGTGCCACCTTTCTCTTTGTCACCACTGCCACATGGAACTCCCTCCCGGCTGCCATTCGTACTGCATCCAGCCCAAAATGTTTTACCGCTCTTGTCCGCACACACTTTGCTATTACAGGGCACCTCACTTCAAACTCTACAACTACGGTCTCTTCGCTGCATAAGTTCACTTCACTTCCAAAATAAATAAATAATATTAGATACAAATGGAATGCACCAAATTTTCGGGCATGGCCCATCTTCAGGGTGAAAAACCATTCAACTAAAGCCAACAAAAACTGAAACGAGTATATATACTGTGTGTTGCAGGAGTGATGGAAATGTTTGTATGTGTGGACGGTAGCAGCAATGGTGAAGTGTGTTGGTAGAAAGGGAAGGAGCGAAGTGTGAATATGTGTTAGTGCGACGTGAAGGGAAAGCACGAGAAGTGTGGTTACCAGCAGCAATGGTGACATGTGTTGGTAGAATGGGAAGGAGCAAAGGAGACAAGTGGAGAGCTGTGTCTGTAAGTGTGAATATGTGTTAGTGACATGGAGAATAGAATGCAAAGTATGCAATGTAGCTGGGTCCATGGGTGTGAAGACAAAGATGACGACAAATATTTGCTAAGCACTATATATAACCAGCTAGCACACATAAGCATCAAATATCAAGTATTATCATATCATATATTCGCAACGTCACAGTCTATCACAATTTACAGCACCAGCACCTAACACAATAATTTCACACTGTGTCCAGCAGTCTCCAGCCACGATCCCTGTTAACACTTGGACCTCTATCACGAATGAACATTGCTTCACGTATACGACGATTCACGAAGGACGACTGCTTGGCGAGAATTGATGCGTTGGTGATGGGTGTAGATGTGATTGCTTGTTGTGGGTGGTGTTCTGCATAGTGTTCTCCCCATGGCGTCTCCAGCGCTTGCGCTTTGGCCTCTCTGCAATGCTCCTCAAATCTCTTCCTTGTAGTTCGCTCGGTCTCGCCAACGTACTCCTCGGCGCAAAGTGCACATAACATCGAGTAGATAACATCCCGAGACAAACATTGACCACTCTCCATACCAGCATCACATGCACGACATTCAACTGGTCGCCCCCTTCCTCTTCTCTTCTTATACACTTCCTTCGGGCATTCAGGACGGGACAATGATGACGATACCAACATGTCCCTTAGTGACCGACCGGACTGGAACACCACGCGCACATCCTTACTGAAAGATCTCACCGTACGACGAACATCACGTGCCAAACGATCATTGACGAAGGGCAGTTTGATGATGGATGTGTACGATTGTTGTCGTTGTCTGGTGGATTATTTTCTTGGTGTGCTTGCATGGTGCTTCGCTGCTTGAATAGCGTGTTGTGGGTAGTCGTTGTCTCGTAGTAATGTCTCGATCTTCTTCTCTCCCCGCTCCCTCCCCCTGTCGGTTGACGCGTTGCTGTTTGCGCACCGAAACTGCTCCTGGGCAACCGAACGCTTCACCCCCAATGGCAATGAAGACTCGTACGATAGATGGACACCACTATGACTGGGCTTAACGAACAACTCCCACTGCACAACACCACTCGCCACAGAGATAGACAAGTCGAGATAGTTGACTGTGTGCGAGACATTCTGCTGGGTGTGTTCCACTGTGAAGCGTATGTCTGGGTGTCTGCTGCTCATGTACTGCACGAACTCCATCAACTTGACAAGACCATGACACCATACTACCAGACAATCATCGATATAGCGACGATATAAGCGAGGCTTCCACGGAAACATAGCCATCGCCTCCGACTCGAGCTTCGACATGAAAATGAAAACATGAAAATGATTGCCATTGGGGGTGCGAGATGGTTGCCCATTGCCAGGCCTTTCCGCTGAAGCCGAACTGGACAGGTTAGAGAACCTTGGTATTGTTAGCAAGGTCCAGTGGAGCGAGTGGGCAACCCCAATTGTGCCAGTTATCAAGCCCAATGGCTCAGTGCGTCTCTGTGGCGATTTCAAGGCCACATTGAACCCGCAACTGAAGGTGGATCAACACCCTCTTCCACGTGTAGAAGATGTGTTCGCCACTCTGGCTGGAGGACAACGCTTCACCAAGATCGATCTGAAACAAGCGTACCTCCAGATGGAAATGGAGGAGGAATCAAAGCCACTTCTCACACTGACAACGCACAAGGGCTTGTATCAGCTCAACCGTCTCGGATTTGGTGTGGCTTCCGCACCAGCGCTGTGGCAGCAGGCCATCGGCCGCACCCTGCATGGCGTTCCACATCAGGCCTGCCTGCTAGATGACATCATCGTCACCGGTCGCGACGACGATGAACATTTGGACAACGTGGAGAGCATCTTGGGTCGTCTCTCCGACCACGGCCTGAGAGTCAATCCAGCGAAGTGCACGTTCTTCGCAGATGCAGTGGAGTACTGTGGTCACATTGTCAGTCGCCACGGTTTGCGCAAGACTGATGACAAGATCAAGGCGATCAACGAGGCCCCGGCACCACAGAACGTGTCCCAGCTGCGCAGCTTTCTGGGTATGGTATGCTACAGTCAAATCTGCCGTTAGCGACCTCTGCTGTAGGCGACCATCTACCGTTAGCGACCGATTTTCCGTGCACCGACGGTTTCACATACAAACTGATCTGTCCAGAGCGACCATCTGCTGTGCGCGACCAGCGACCGCGATTTCATGCACGGTGGCTGCATTCAAATCTGCTGTAAGCGACCGCGACCCAGGTTCAGTAAGGTGCGAAACTGTACTTGCCAGTGCGTTGTCAACTGCAAAGTGTGAAAATGCGCTGTCTTGCAAGTGCGATCGACTGGCGCCTGGCCTGTACTGAGGCTGTGATGTAGCTCTCAAGTCCAGGCAGTGTCGATCTACTGCCGTGTCGCATACGCGTACTATACGGGTATGGTCGTCGTTGAATATCCAAAAAATGATATTAAAAATCACATTATTCTCGTCGATTTGAGTACATGGAAGCATATACCTGGTATGCCGGATTTACCATACATCTGCCGTAAGAGACCATCTGCCGTAAGCGACCGCTTTTTCTTGCACCAAGGGGCGGTCGCTTACAACAGATTTGACTGTACTACCAGCGCTTCTTGAAGGACTGCTCCACGACTCTGCACCCTCTCAACCGCCTGCTCCGAAAGGGTCAGTCCTGGCATTGGACAGCTGACTGTGCAGCAGCATTCAAGACCATCAAGGCAGCTATCGCCTCGGATCAGGTACTCATGCATTTTGATCCCGACCTGCCGGTACAGTTGGCAACTGACGCATCACCCTACGGCCTGGGAGCGGTGCTCTCGCATGTTCTGCCGGACGGTGCGGAACGGCCGATTGCCTTCGCGTCACGTTCGCTTGCCGAGACCGAGAAGCGGTATGCCCAAATAGATAAGGAGGCCTTATCAATCGTCTGGGGGGTCCGCAAGTTTCACACGTATCTGTTCGGACGATCGTTTGTGCTGCTGACAGATCACGAGCCTCTGACAGCCATTTTCAGTCCGAGCAAAGGAATGCCAGCTCTGACGACAGCGCGTCTACAGTCTTGGCCAAGGTCCTAGGTGGTGTTCGTGACGGGTGGTCACACTCCTCAACTGACGGTGACATGCAGCCATTTGCGAGGCACAAGAATGAGCTGGGACTGCACCAAGGATGTCTTATGTGGGGAATCTGGGTTGTCATCCCACCCCAACTACGCAAGCGAGTACTTGAGGAACTGCACACAGGCCATCCAGGCATGGTTCGTATGAAGTCATTGGCCCGTAGCTTCGTTTGGTGGCCAGGCATCGACGCTGACATCGAGACAACCGGCAAGGTCTGTGCTGGCTGCCAGGCACACCAGGCAGCACCACCAAAGTCACCACTCCATCCCTGGGAGTGGCCGTCCAAGCCATGGCAACGCCTCCACATTGATTTTGCAGGACCGTTCCAAGGGCACATGTGGCTGATCGTGGTGGATGCCCACAGCAAGTGGCCGGAAGTTCTGCCAATGAACAGCACCACTGCTCCAGTCACCGTTCGCCGTCTCCGGGAAGTGTTCGCCCAGCATGGTTTGCCTGACCAGATCGTCAGTGATAATGGCCCGCAGTTCACATCCGATGAGTTCCGTCGTTTCACTGAAGCCAACGGCATTACCCACACCTTCTCAGCACCGTACCACCTAGCGACGAATGGGTTGGCTGAACGATTCGTGCGGACGATGAAGCAGGCACTAAAGTCCCATTCGGACACAGCACCGCTCGAGTTCTTGCCTCGCTTCCTGTTGTCGTATCGCACCACACCACATGCAACAACGAATGCCACACCAGCATCTCTGCTAATGCATCGTGAGCTACGCACTCGGTTGTCCTTGGTCCAGCCCAGTGTTCAGGCATCTGTGGCCAAGAAACAAGCAGCTCAGAGTAATGCGAGGTAAGCAAACCGGGAGCGCACGTTTGCTGTGGATGACACCGTCATGGTACGTGACTACCGCACCAACGCACCACACCCATGGATTCAGGGCACCGTGCAAGCGGTAAACGGCTCCCGCCACTATACTGTGGAAGTTGGCCCAGACCAGCAATGGAGGCGCCATGTGGAACAGCTCCGGTCAGTCGTTTCCGCTCCGCAGTCATTCGTACCAATGAGCGCAGCACCCTTGCCGTCCGTCGCAGCACCGGCAGAGCCTGATTACAGTTTGTGTTTTCCCGCTGCTCATTCGCCGACTTGTGTTCCGCCACCACCCAGTGTTGAAGCCGCTGCTATTCCAACACATCCACCTGTGCAAGCAACAGTACCAGCAACTACTGCAGCGCAGCAGACCCAGCCGCCACCGGCACAGGCTCTAACTGAGCCCCGTCGTAACCCGGCAAGAACTCGAGTTCTGCCAGCTCGCCTGAGAGAGCAAAACATTCTCCTGAATGCTCTGATAATCTGTTGCTCGCGTGGTTACTGTGCTCTCGGCTTATCCATTGACTTTCTCTTGTGTATTAAATGTATATACGCGTTTGCAACCCTACTATACATGTAGGGGAGGAAATGTAGTGTATGGCTGATGATACACTCAGGGACATTTCTTACGTCATCATTATCGTATTGACGTCACACCATACGCAGATCATTTTAGTATGTCTGCCTTTTGTATTGACACACGTGTCTCCTTGTTCTTGTTCCGTTGACATAATTTACTTGCAATTGTAGTTGGTCTTCTTCTAGTCTCCATGTAATCGATCATAGAATAAACCGAACCCCGTCCCTAGCTGAGACACTACTCTTGGCTCTTGGTTTCCTTGTTCCAGGCGCTTTCCAGGAAGCCAATGGTCATGACATTTGAAGAATTGATGACTGAGTTAGGGACCATCCGTAGTTATCGACCTTTGTCATGAAGAGAAAAGTTTCATTCATGGGTGGGTGGGTTGAGGAGAGTTTGAAACATATTGATAGCTGAAACAGTCCATTCTAGCTGCCAAATCAATATATTTTTTCGTTCATGGGGGTGGGTGGGTGGGGGAGGGTCATAACTAAACTCTTTCGTTTCTCGAAAATTATCGATACACTCAAACGCCTCTTATCTGGACGCCTCAGGTACGGGCACGTCTCTCTACCGGGCACCTTCAGCTTGAGTTCCTGCAGCGAAATGTTTCGAATTTGGAAGGTTCGAACTTTTTTGCATATGCGCAAGGGCTTATTTGTCACTGCCAACTATCTATGGATTCTTTCTGTATCCTGAATACGCAATACGTGCCAAATAAACTTCTTCAAAAAATGATATGATACATGGTAGATGAGTTTTCCTGAGATACGGGCAAATCTGAGATACGAGCAGTGCCCGGTCCCAAGGTGCCCGGATAAGATACGTCCGAGTGTATTTCCGGATGGCCCCTTACGAACTTTTGCATGTGGTGTGTTTCAGCAAAATTGACCCGTTCTCGCTGGCACTTGGTGCAAAGCGGGAGTACTAGTACCCCGCAGCCGTCAAAAGGTTTAAAAAATAGTTTGTCTACCAAGCTTTGCTTCGTACTCTCTTTAAAATATCAGAAAATCTCAACTGCTGCAAAATTCTGTATGCTCATTTAGCGTCCACTTCTGCCGGTACACTTAAGTAGAGGTCAATCCAACCCACTCCTGTAGTGCACTCTATCTCTCATGGGCCGTTGGCCACGATGAGAAACAAGATTCAAAACGGCCCTTACGGCTGGGGGTAAAGTAGTGTTCCGATGAAGTGGGAGGTCCCCAGCTGCCGTTGATCAAGCGTGGGCGAAGAATACATACCACCTCCATAAAAGGACGTGGTACTGTCACGTTAAAGTAGAAGAATTGACCCACTGAGTCATAATTGCTACTATCCAGTTTATGCCACTAGAAAAGTTTCACATGGACAGAAAGAAACACAGAGTGGATGACACTTCAAGAGAGAGAGAGAGAGAGAGAGAGAGAGGAGAGAGAGAGAGAGAGAGAGAGAGAGAGAGAGAGAGAGAGAGAGAGAGGAGAGAGAGAGAGAGAGAGAGAGAGAGAGAGAGAGAGAGAGAGAGAGAAGAGAGAGAGAGAGAGAGAGAGAGAGAGAGAGAGAGAGAGAGAGAGGAGAGAGAGGAGAGAGAGAGAGAGAGAGAGAGAGAGAGAGAGAGAGAGAAGAGAGAGGAGAGAGAGAGAGAGAGAGAGAGAGAGAGAGAGAGAGAGAGAGAGAGAGGAGAGAGAGAGAGAGAGAGAGAGAGAGAGAGAGAGAGAGAGAGAGAGAGAGAGAGAGAGAGAGAGAGAGAGAGAGAGAGAGAGAGAGAGAGAGAGAGAGAGAGAGAGAGAGAGAGAGAAGAGAGAGAGAGAGAGAGAGAGAGAAGAGAGACAGAGACAGAGAGACAGAGAGACAGAGAGAGAGACAGAGAGACAGAGAGAGAGAGAGACAGAGAGAGACAGAGAGACAGACAGAGAGAGACAGAGAGAGAGAGAGAGAGAGAGAGAGAGAGACAGACAGACACAGACAGACAGACACAGACAGACAGACAGACAGACAGACAGACAGAGTAAGTTACATTTATATTGATTTCACCCGTGACTTGAGCTTCCCACAACACAAGTGTATAGGCATTAGTGTAGTAGTTGGCCCCGGAGGCAATCACCCTCACTCAAGTCAAACACTCACTGTGACTTCGTAGTTTACCAATAATTATCAAGAAAGAAACATTATACACACTTGGAATGCAAAGAGAGTAGAAAGGCAACAAGAAAGAAGACCGCAAGGGAACAAAAGTCCGGCAACCGGCAGCCATGTTTTAGTTCATTAAACAACAAGCAATCTACGAAAACCGGTTGCCGACGAAATTCTAGCAACTTCTGGAACATTAGTATATTAAATTAGCCAATCACAGTTCACAGCTCTGGAACATTCTGGAACATTAATACTAGCAGCCAATCACAGTTAGCAACAGACAGTCATACGGGTAAAGTAGAGAAATACGGGTTTAGCCATACACGACTCATACATGACTCACGAGCCACTCACGGAAAGGGTAATAACATGCAGATACAACATACTGTATAAGCAGAAATATTCGTCTGGAATTTAATTTCGTCCTTTTCGTCCAAATTTGTCCAGCGTTTCTATACACTCTTATGATCTATGGACGAAATTTTCAACCGGACGAACTCCTTTTCTTTGGAGTTGGACGAAATTATTGACCGACGAAATTTTCTGCCTCTACAGTACGCAAGGAGAGAAAAAAATGTAACTAACTGCCCATCTTGGGGTTCGAACCTAGGAATCTGTATTTTTGTATTTATGGATTCTCCACTGTGGTGGATAGATCGATAGAAAGTGTAATTGTTCACACTTAGGCCACACTGAAAAAAGTCTGTGGTTCGACTCACCCGACCGACCGTACATTTTTCAGCCCGACCGTAACTTTTTTTTCGGCGGGCTGTCGTGTGAGTGACGTACGTGGACTGAACACGTCCACATCTACGTGCTGTGCAGCGTGAGTCTGCGGATGCAGGCGCTAGGCGGCTCCTTTTGGACTTGACTTGTACAGTAGTTATACTGCAGTGCAGTGCAGTGAGTGGTACGACTGCTGCCTTGTGCTGGTAGTAGAGTCTACTCGATACGACCACCGGCAGACTGGCGAGACTTATTTTGAAGTGACCGTTCGGTTGAGAGTGATTGCCTCGTTCCAGATTAAGGACGGCCTTCTGTTTTGGGATGAAGAACAGACGAGATTGCACTTTCCTCGTGTATTGGGAACGATATTTCTGCCACACAATGTTTCAAAGTATTAGCCAGTGATCCCTTTATACAACATGTATGGCATAACACTGCGTAATAATGCCGATGTACTGGGTGTCTCAAGGCAGTACAGTGTATTTACATGTACTAAAAATATATTATTTAAAAAAAATCCGCCCGCCCGCCCGTAAAAAAATGTCCATGTTAGTCGAACCACACACCTTTTTTAGTTTGGCCTTAAGAGTATTTATTTCGTAGAGCTTGTATTTGTATTTATGGATTCTCTGCTGTGTAGATATAAATACAAGCTCTACAAAATAAATACTCTCAACTGTGAAAAATATACTTTCTACTTTGAAGTATCAAATATTGCAACCACTACATTGAATAGGTCTCAGAAGAGAACGGCACCTAAGCTGAAACTCTAGTTTGTGCAGATGTAGCCCAAAGGCAACAGTTTGTAACAGGTACTTCCTCCGCGTCATTAAAATTGTCACTTCCAAGAGCGATTTTATCAAATCTACTTTGTCCACTCGAAGCGAAGAAATCAGCTAGAACTTGAGGGGAGCTCTCAGCTTGCGACTGCAGCAGTTCCCAAAGCAGTAAGATCAACAGTAGCTGAGCTATTGCGCTCGATGTCCACACAGATCAACGCAAGCTCAAAGCCTTCTCTGTGCAGTGCGCGGGCGCTTGGTTTTATTTTTCCCCGCTCTATTTGCAAGGTGCTTGATTTTGCTTCTAAAACCGATCCCAGTGTCGTGACATTCTCATGTACGAGTTTAGTGTGTAGTACTCGGTACGTACTGAGCTCTGTTTCTTTCTCTTGTCTCCATATACTGCATGCTTCACGTTACACGCTTATCGGTTTGACCCTGAGTTCATGTCCGCTATCCCGGGTCTCCTCTATTTCTGTTTGCTTCCACGTGGTACACGGTTACGGTGTAGCGCTGCACGTGTTTCGTCAGCTTCAAGGCCGTCACAGCCTTCGGCCTTTTTTTCTTCTTTTTTTCGGAGCACATTACAACAAAGCACAATGATCGCAGCTTAGCGCAAACGTGACAAATCCTTGTCCCCGATCGTGGTTTGTTGCAGAAAAAAGTCTTTCATTGCAGTTACACTGAAATAGCACCAAATGCCTGGAAATGCTTGCAATTGGCTTAATAAATAATAGTTAAATTTTGAATTTTTTTCCCGGGGGAGGGTAATGTTTGTCCCCGATCGTAGCGTCTTCTTCGTTTGTTGCAGAATCAAAAAGACTTTCATTGTAGTTACCGTATTCTGAAATGGCACCAAATACCCGGAAATGCTTGCAATTGGCTTCAATTTTTGAAATTTTTTTCCGGGGGGAAGACCCCCGCACCCCCCTTCCATGGCCGCCCCACCTCCAAAGTCGGTGCGACGGGCCTGAGCTCGAACTGTAGCATATATGGTAAATCGTACTTTAGTCCTGCTCACACTTCCTTTATGTCACGTACCCGCACGCGCGGTTATCTTGCGCTCTACTGCGCAGCACGGTAGTATTCTACTTTCATTTCCCGTATCCTTTTCTGGCAGGCGGGCTCCCTTTTGCTGTTTTGTCCTTTGGAGAAAATGGCTTGCTTTTTCCTTGGAAGTTGGAAGTCAGTGGCGGGCGGGTTCAGGATTCTTTTTGATAATGTATTTGAACTAAAACACAACGTAGAAATAACACAATTGTCTCTTGACTCTCTTGCATTATATCCGTCCGATGTCAACAAAACGTGACACCCAGACCTCAGCAGACACAGCCCAGCAGACACCCCACATTAGACCCAAAGACCCACCTTCTGCAAAAATTGTCTGGGTTGCTTCTTAGAAGCTGCGTAGGGCACAAAGCAGCAAAGGAAAGGGACAGTCGGGTGTGCACGTGAGCATACTTGCATGCATGCACGCGTTCAACAGAGAGGATTATTTTTCATTCCGCCATGTCGAATTTTTTTACGAAACCCCAGAGATATGTTTTAGCTGACCTAGGCGCGTGTTCCTTCGCTAAGTTTATAACTAATTTGTAATGGTTACCATACCCTTGTGATGCCATTTATCCGTACGTTCCATTGCATGAGCATGAAACTCTTAATCCCAGGGTCATGGGTTTGAGCACCACGTTGGTTGCCAATGTTGAAACGTCGCCACTAACGTAATAAATCCTAGACTCGACGACACACAGGCCAGGTACGAGGTGATTCGTCATTATTTAACACGAAAGTAAAAAAGCCTTCCGTAGGTTCGAGGTGCGAATCTTTCCATTTCTTCCTCCAAAAATGTAATTCTGATGTCCTTAGATTGCAATGGTGGGTTGTTCATGCACATAATCCTTGGTGTTGGGAAGCAGGGGGCAGTTGAAAAATGGCAATTTTTCCGCATATTATTTGTTGTGGTCATTTCTTAACATCATGGTAAAATAGGCCTTAGCAGCACAATTTCAAGTCAGTTTTCAATAGAAAGAGACCCTACGTATCCAGGATGGTCCAGCAAGACTGGATCAAGATCATGTTGATCCAAATACAAGCCATTCAAGCTTGCATAGCAGTAGGTGTATCACCCTGATTTTATATGCAATTGTGATCAACATCTGTTAGCAAATTCAGTAATTGCCAATGTTTGGCCATTACCAGGCCGACACACACCCATTCTCCTTCCCAGGCGTCGTTTCCAGTATGTAGCTATCATATGCTTCCTTTTCAGCTATATATTTTGTCACTGGAGGTTGAAACCAGCGGCTATGACTCTCTTATACTCTATTTACCGTAAACATCGCGCACATGCAGACTGAAAGCTCTTGCAATGTCACTTCCTGAAGGAATATCAGTCTCAATTTTGGAGGCGAACTTCACAGAACATTGACAATGGCAATGGCAAAAAGAAATTTGACGTGACTTTTTGCAGGCGCTGGCAATGAGATATTTTACCGATTTGTTAAGAAATGACGTAATGTTAAAAAATTACGAATCACCTCGTACCGTCTATCAACAAATTTTCGCCGGTGAAAAACGTTCGCCGATCGCCAAAACCTTTCGCCGTCACTAAACTTTTCGCCGTAGGCGTGCGAGAGTCCACAAAAGTGATCGATGTTTCGTGTGCGCATGTACTCGTGGTATAGTAGTACAACGGTCCGAGCGTAGTTTGTAGACCCCTGTCTACTGTACGCAGTTTTTACAGAGAGTCCGGTGGAATAAGAGTGAGCCGAACTGATAATTGTGGTTCTGGTGACAAATTTTGGCCGCGATTAATTTTAGCCGATTGACATCGACCGGCGAAATCAGCGAAATTAAATCGCCAGCGAAATTGTATTAATTACAGTAGGTGATAGGGAACACATTTATGGGGAGAGACCGAGAAATGAAAGACTATTTTGTGACGAAATGAGAGAAAGCTGAGAGAGCGCGCTGCAGCGAGAGAGAGAGAGAAGAGAGAGAGAGAGAGAGAGAGAGAGAGAGAGAGAAGAGAGAGAGAGAGAAGAGAGAGAGAGAGAGAGAGAGAGAGAGAGAGAGAGAGAGAGAGAGAGAGAGAGAGAGAAGAGAAGAGAGAGAGAGAGAGAGAGAAAGAGAGAGAGAGAAAGAGAGAGAAATAGAGGGATAGAGAGATAGAGAGAGATAGAGAGATAGAGAGAGAGATAGAGAGATAGAGAGAGATAGAGAGAGATAGAGATAGAGAGATAGAGATAGATAGATAGATAGATAGATAGATAGAGAGAGAGAGAAGAGAGAGAGAGAGAGAGTAGAGAGAGAGAGAGAGAGAGAGAGAGAGAGAGAGAGAGAGAGAGAGAGAGAGGGAAGAGAAAGAGAGAGATAGAGATAGAGAGAAAGAGAGAGAGAGATAGAGAGATAGAGGGATAGAGAGATAGAGAGAGATAGAGAGATAGAGAGAGAGATAGAGAGATAGAGAGAGATAGAGAGATAGAGAGATAGAGATAGATAGATAGAGAGGTAGAGAGAGAGAGAGAGAGAGAGAGAGAGAGAGAGAGAGAGAGAGAGAGAGAGAGAGAGAGAGAGAGAGAGAGAGAGAGAGGAGAGAGAGAGAGAGAAGAAGAGAGAGGAAAGAGAAAGAGAAAGAGAGAGATAGAAGAGAGAGAGATAGAGAGATAGAGAGAGATAGAGAGAGAGAGATAGAGAGATAGAGAGGAGAGAGAGAGAGAGAGAGAGAGAGAGGAGAGAGAGAGAGAGAGAGAGAGAGAGAGAGAGAGAGAGAGAGAGAGAAGAGAGAGAGAGATAGAGAGATAGAGGGATAGAGAGATAGAGAGAGATAGAGATAGAGAGAGAGAGATAGAGAGATAGAGAGAGATAGAGAAAGATAGATAGATAGAGAGAGAGAGAGAGAGAGAGAGAGAGAGAGAGAGAGAGAGAGAGAGAGAGAGAGAGAGAGAGAGAGAGAGAGAGAGGGAAAGAGAGAGAGATGAGAGAGAGAGAGAGAGAGAGAAAGAGAGAGAGAGATAGAGAGATAGAGAGAGATAGAGAGAGAGAGAGGAGAGATGAGAGCGAGATAGACAGTTAGGCCCTTGCACACTACGTACATGTACAACGTCAACAAACTTGAGCATACGCTGTGTATGCGCAAGTCTGTTTAAGTGCAGTTGCACACTGACAAGAGATCTGCATTTTATGTGTTCATTGCCTGAAGAAAATTGACTGAAATTCAAAAGATACGGCACGAAAATGCTCTTGCCAGAGCGAGTGCTTTCTGTTTGTCGCCTATGATTTCGTTCTTGTGTCGTTCTTGTTGCAAATCATGCCCTTGAACCTCAGGTTGCCTCCGGCAAGGAGATGGCGGCGACTTAGAATGTTGCCGCCATGATCACGGATGTTGCAGGACCTTGCAGGACCTGATGCTGCAAAAGCGTACGTCCCATGACGCTGGTTTGGTGCAAAAATTCAAATTTACCGCGCCTTCCCATGGACATCGTGTCAAGAGGGCCACTCTTCATGTGCACCGCATGCAACTGTATTTCCTGTGTGAATACCATCATAGACCTCCACCATAGTCTGTACAATATGTTGGCAAGCACCAACAAGTGGTCTTGAATAAAGACGTCCACTAGAAATCACTTGTGGAAATATTCAAATTTCGAACCCTCCAACGGCCATGCACTAGCCGAATCCAACCTCGTGGCAGGAAAGCACACACGGAGCGCCTTCATATACCATTTTGCACTGTGACATGGTAATAGTCCCTGCCCTAGCAGAAACTCGAATGAAGCCGCCACGAATCGGCTTCACTTGATGAAGTGTCACGCGAAATTATGCATCTATGAGAAGTTTGAATACTATTGTTGTGAATCTGGTGTTGGAAAGGTCTCTGAGCAGTTGTTAGGGGGGTGTGAACTTGCCAAATGCGTAAAACCATGCCTGTCCCTTCGTAATGCTGCACAAGTTTTTGTTGTATAATTGTGCATGAAAATAGCTCTATGTGCTGGCTGTTACAGTGTCTAATCACGACAATGGCAGCTTTTACGAATAATCAAGTAGCTGATTATGTGCATGTTTGAAAACGAATGCCATTATTGGAATTCCACAATGTATTTTCTGTTCTTGTTTTGCTGTTGGAGAGAACTGTTAGATCGTCTCTCTGTGCTTCCTTTATTCAATTTCTTAGTTAGTTTTCAATTCTCTTAAAATATCATAATATCGTCTATGCAATTTGTAAAACTCAACGGATCTTGGGAGTTGTGATGGTAGTCGCCTCGCCTGGGGGATTCTGAGTTACCAGTGTGTAACAACTATGATTTCCACAAGTGAGTTTTAGTGGATACCTTTGTTCAAGACCACTTGTTGACGCTTGGGGATATGTCATAACAGACTATGGTGGTGGTCTTCCCCCAATTTCATGACCTAACCTCATTGCTACTCGCCCTTGAAGATGGCCTTCATATTAAATTTAAAGTAAAAAAAAGAAAAGAAAGGACCAAGAAACTACAAGTTACACTATAATGTCCACTAACACCACCAGTTACTAAACAATCAGCTCATGCTGTAACATTGCACGACACTGACCGACGGTACTGACGTTCTGCAACGTGCCAGAGCTGCTAGCCAGTTAGTCGTAGAACGTCAGTACCGTCGATCAGTGTCGTGCAATGTTATCGCATGAGCTGATTGTTTAGTAACCGGTGGTGTTAGTGGACATTATAGCGGGACTCGTAGTTCCTTGGTCCTTTTTCTTTTCTATAAATTCATCCTTGGCTCTCCATCCAAGTCCATTGGTAATAACAGTTAAATGGCCGCCATTGAACAGGCTGAAGCGATCGATTCGGTCTTGGGACTCAGCAAGTCGCCAATCGAAAGTTGGATGGCTAAATATTACTAGGTAACTTGGATTGGTCTGCGAACATAGTTGGTTTGGCTGAACTGTATTGTTGTGAGCAGCAGTAATCCCTCGTTCTTGTACCTTGTTTGAAGGTGTTTCGGTTCGTGATTTTATCGGTTTTTGGATTTTTGGCCAATATCTAAAGAACAGAGGGTTCTGGACCAAACTATCATAGTGGGTGAATGAGGTCCACCTAGGGATAAAAGGAGGCAACTTTGTACGAATTCAGAAATTTGGCCAGGTCGGGTATTATGTGGTTGTTACAGACATTGACTCGTACAGAGAAATTCACAGTTCCAGTGAGACTCGGCCAAACGCCGAGTTTTCCGCATCCGCAGGAACGCCACCACCCTCTTGGATCAAGGCGCAGATGCAGCTCCTAAGCGGTAGGAGGTGAGTAGATCAGACCCACCACAAAGTGGTCAAAGACCGAAATCCCATTCACTGCATCCATGTTTCCCTCGTGCCAGGCCACGAGTTCCCAGTTAACTGTGGGTCGCAGCACGGCTGGAAATAATCCTTCCGCTTCCAAGCAGGACTTGAACTTGGCACCCTCTGTTTCTCAATCATGGTCTCAGACCATCCCACTATGCCCGCCTGGACTCTTAATTGGGACGAAAAAACGTACACAGTGGAAATTGTGGGCACAAGTTATGCGATCGAGTCCACCAACTAAACCAGATTTTGAACAGTCAGACGTGTACAATCTAGCACAAAATTGTGCCCACAATTTCCCATGTTACAAATTTTTCCTGGGCTCACCATCTGAACTCTTACTGTAAACAGTGGAGATTGGGTATAACGACACTCCTTCGGGAGAGGACAAAATGTCACTATATTCGATCTGTCACTAAACCCGATCTTCGCAAAGGACTTACTAAACGACTAGGGCAGCGGAATTGTGTCGCTAAACTCAATCTGTCGTTTTATCCGACCTCCACTGTACCGTAAAACATGTAAATTTCGGTGCATTAAAATTTCGGTGCCAGGGACCTGCCAGGTTTCAGGTGTAATGTAGAATTAGGTGACCAGCGTTTCGTTCACATACAGTGCATACTCAAGTGCCTTTTAGGTGTACCATAATTTAAATGTTGGTGCCTGTTTTCTCTACCGAAATCACCGAAATTAAAAAATTAAAAAAATTTTCACGGTTCGCGTGAGACTCGGCTGGAAGCCGGGTTTTCCGCATCCGTAGGAACGCCACCACCCTTCAAGGATCAAGGCGCAGATGCAGCTCCTAAAGCGGTCCGAAATTAAAGTTACACCTAAAATATCGTGTTTTACAATACTCGCAATAATCCCATTGTGCATTGCCAAATATGGAAGGTATGAATAATGCATGTGAGTACGCTGGTATCAGGAATGCACTGTTCAACACCCCAGACGACCATGCCCAGGTGGCTATGTGGGGTGTTATGTGAGTACACTGGGATCAGCAATGCACTGTTCAACACCCCAGACGACCATGCCCAGGTGGCTGTGTGGGGTGTTATGTGAGTACACTGGGATCAGCAATGCACTGTGTTCAACACCCCAGACGACCATACCCAGGTGGATATGTGGGGTGTTTATCGTACCAAATTACGTCATTGCGCAGTGGGCTTATCTGCACGGAGTGGCTTCAGACTCCAGTCACATGACCATTCAGCGCAGCCGTGTTGCGTTCAACTCAACACCTGTATGAATGGGGACACACGTGACGGCGGACACATCGGTCCCACTGTCCACACGCCATGATCACACTTCCTGCGTGAAATGCAGTCGCATGGCAAACTGATGTGAGCACCACTCTATAAGCTCGCTTTGTAATATAGTAAAAAAAATGCTATAGTTTGTCAGGGCCATAGCAGCCGGTTCGGCTTGGGCCGGACCACTTTTTCGCCCGGAATGCAGGATTTTGCACCCTAATTTCAAAAATTTCCCGGGCGACGCCCCCAGACCCCCCTCCAACCGGACCACCTCCAATAGCGGTGCTACGCGTCTGCTTGTACTACCGTAATGCCGCGTATAAAAGCAGGTGCTTGGGCGAGACCAAAATATAATCGAGATTCCCGGGCAGGACCCATGCGAAATTGGTGCGGGCGGGCGAATTTATTTGTTCTTTCCCATGTACATTGTATATTGTATATTGTTAGATTGACAGCATGAAACAAGGTGAAGGACACGGTATTCTACATGTATAACCCTCTCAGTGCCACGGGCGACTTTAATCGCCCAGAATGAGTATGTGTGTACAAATAAATTCGTATCTTCACTTCTACACACAGGAGAGTTACAAACGACCACTCTACGTCTTCAGGAAGACCTTGGCTATCGACTCATCACATCGTTTTTGTGTCCGTGAGGATAGATATCGCCAGGGGGAAGCCTGAAGCGCGCGCTCGGACAAAAAATTGTCGCGCGTAGAAAACATGACATATACGCATAGCGGGTTTCTCTATTTCTTTCGCGGCAACCCATGCGTATTGGGTATCAAAACACCGAGATTTTCGGTGGCTTTCAGGCCAACTTTGTCCGAACTTCGTGTGTTGAAAGTTGACTGCACTGCGATCGATCGCGCGCGCGTGAGAAAGTGCAGATGCTACGAAAATGCAGAAAACGGACCTCGCTCAGGCGCCCTCGCGAGGAAAACTATTTTCGCTGCGTTTTCTCTTCACAGCTGTCTGCCTGGCCATGATATCTTTCCAGAGAGCCATCGTTTGCAAAGATCCGTGGATATACAGCTGAGCAATGACAAATTTGAGTTCGGCTCAACTCAGAAAAATTTGAATTTTTCTGACCCCCTTGGCAGTGAAAGGGATAACAAGGTTTATCTAATGCTAGTTTTGAGCTAGTATTAGGTTTTAATTATAATATGTACATGTATGTACATGACTATATGTGTGCATGCCATGTTGAACTTTTTTTACAGCATTTTCCGGTAGTTTTATTCAATTTTTTTACAGACAACAGGTACGCGGTTCATCCGTTCAATTTTTCTATGTTTCGGCCAGCGATGGCCCTGATCTGATCTACATCAGGGAGTCGTACAAGCTCGGGTTTGTGTGACTCCGCGTCACAGATCTACTCACACGATCAGTACTGTACATGTATGAACTGTTAAAAAAAATTGGCTCGATTTTGGTGCGGGAGGGCCCGGGAATCTCTTTTTTTTTTTTGGTCTCGCCTTACGGCCGTATAGGCCGGGGTTCAAATCATGCCTCTATTCAAAACATGCTTTTATTCGAAACATGCTTCTATTCGAAACATGCTTCTATTCGAAACATGCTTCTGCGCCAACATCATCAGTCTACACTGTGCATTGCATACTGTCACGCATGTACTTGCACATGTACTTTGCAGAGAGCGGCTTCTATTCAAATCATGCTTCTGCGACACGGTGCGCTTCAAAAAATCGGCTTCTATTCGAGTCATGCTTCTATACAGGTCATGCTTCTATACAGGTCATGCTTTTATACAGGTCATGCTTCTATACAGGTCATGCTTTTATACAGGTCATGCTTTTATACAGGTCATGCTTTTATACAGGTCATGCTTTTATACAGGTCATGCTTCTATACAGGTCATGCTTCTATGCAGGTCATTACAGTATGCCCCGAAGAGCCAGCGGCTAAGTCTCCTGACTCTAATTCAAACTTACAAGCACTGAAGTAGTTCATTGAGCAGTTCATCAGGACAGCATCAATGAGTGGACTCTTGGTAAGTGTGCGGTCCCGCAGATGCGCCGCCAACACGGCCGTGCGCATCGTGGGGTCAGCCAAGCGAACCAAGTATTGCAGCTCGGTCTGATTCCTGAAGGTACTGGTCTGAAACGGTGTGTCTTGGCTGACTGAAAGCACACGGACAGACGGGACAAAATGAACACACATTAGGTGTTAGAACATAGCAAACAGGCAACCCTTTCGGAGTGTCCAGCGACCCGACCTACGTCCACGAAGATGACCGGCTACCCAAGAACTCCGTGACGTTAATCGACCGGTCTGTCCTGGTAACTAGGGGTCTGAGTAGCAGAGCTATAATGACTGAAAGTGAGACTCAAACATTGACAACTTGCACATGCTTAAAAGATGTATATCCACTAGTTTCAGTGTACTGGGCTTTTTTTTTAATAGCAATCAGAAGAATCAGCCAAGCAAACATTTTACGTAGTAATCCACAAGAGAAGAATATGAATAGTAGAATTTTCTAACCGATGATTCTTCTGACAGACTGTACAGTAAAGCCTGGTTTAAGCGACCAACCCGCGGTGCAAGCAAAAGCGGTCGCTAAAGCCATGTGGTCTTTGGAACCAGGTCGCATACATTCGTGACATATCGGACTGTCTACATACGTGTGCATGATTCCGCTTCCATGTACTCATATTGACAGGCGTGGAGCGTAGAAGACGTTCTGCAGGCAAAGCACACCTCACTCAAGTGCATACAGCACACCCTGCACTGTCACCCATCACTTCTATTGACTGCATGCACATGAATCAGAGCGCACTTCGACCCTGTCGCTGTCAAACCTGACAGCCAAGATGGCACTTTTGGTTAGTTTTGGTCGCTGTGTGCAGGTCCAATACTGCACTTGGTACACAAAAAGTCGGTCGCTGGTCGCGCAAGGCAGGTTGTTGCTGTATCCAGTGCAGCTTCTGTGTAGAACAATGCGTGCATGGAAAAACGGTGGTTAAAACTAGGTGGTCGCTAAACCCAGAGGTCGCTTACACCAGGCTTTACTGTAATCAAGTTCTTGCCTCCGCGCCGCCTATGGGCTTTTCCCTATGAACCCAATTCCGCGTTCAAAGTGGCAGTTCGGACTGTGGCCGGACAAACACGACGTCACCAAGTTTCCGTGTCAGGATGAAGTGCAGTCAAATCTCATTTGGACGAACACCGATAAGGCGAACTTTCCATTCGTACGAACTAGGGCCAATCCTATGGTTGGCCAGGCATCAATTCAAGTCGAAATTATTCGTTTACGATGAACTTCTGTAGAGCGAACTTTCGCGAAGACGAACTATTTTCAAGTGTAATTTGAACAAAATCAGTGTGGTCATGTACATGTAGTGCGAGCTTTCGGTCCACGAGCGTGCGCGTGGGTTGGCTGCCATTTTTCTTCCTTTTTTTCAATAGCCGAGGCCATATTGTACATACAGCGCAAATTGTTTTCAAGCGTGTTTTGAACAAAACCTTTGTGCAAACTTTCGGCACAGTCGTGATTCAGTGCACATTGTCATTGTACTTTCCTGTTTCTGGCTTATGCTAAGAATAACATGCTTCCCATGCACCACAGCATGCACCTTCACGTAAATACAATCCATACGATATGCATATCGATTTTTTGTCAGATCTGGATAAGAAGAACTTCCGAAAAGACAAACAATGTTCAGTCCGTTGAAGTTCGTCCTAACCAGGATTGACTGTAGGCAATGAAAAACTGCCAATGAGCATGCTTTCCGTGGCCATGGGGGCTCATGGAAAAAAGTGGTTGCTGTTTTTTTTAAGCCCCGGTGGCTCCTAGGAATCACTGAAATTTACGTTAGGTCAATCAGGGGCGTCGGAAGGTAATTTTGTGTGGTACGGTCAGCCATCTGAAGTACAATTTAACTCTTGGGGGAGGGGTGGCTCAGCTGAAAATTTTGGAAATTTTGAGCCCACATCAGTGCATTTTATTGACTCACGGGGTACTTGGCCCTTTTTGGGGGGGGGGGGGCAAATAGTGGTACGGTCAATGCCGTAGTGACCGTACCGTGTGCGACACCCCTGTCACTATGGGACTAAAAACAAGCTCGAGGCGATTGAAGAGCTGAGATAGCAAGACCTGATAAGTGCCAGACTTGAGAAAAACCAGATCTTCAGCTCAGTGTACTCAAAACAGGTGTAGAGGCACCACAAACCAAAATTTCACATTCCAAATCTCATTAAAACCAGTTCATAACTGAATCCCAACGACGTATTTACAGTCAACTTCGCCAATAATGACTGCGGATATATTAAACGACAATTCGCGAAATTTCCAAGCTCAGAGCAAAGTCCCATCTAACTGGGTACAGGCCTTGGGATTAGAAAATCATGGTCGTTCTGACATAATGTCCTGACACTTCTTCAATTTTTCGGACATGCCCGGACATACCATTTTGCCACACATGTCTTTGAAAGTCGACTTTTCAAATTTCTCACCCAACGATGAAGGACTCGGAGAAATTTTTGGACGAACAACTTTTCTCGGCGAACCGCACAAGAAGTGACAAACCTTGCATCTACGCATTTCACCCCTGCGCGATCGTCTTTGCGTCTCTCATACTCCAACGCAATGGATGCTGAAAGGTCCTTGTCCCGCAGTCAACAGTCCACTTGTCACAAGTGGCCACTCGCACAGCACAGAGCTTCTTGCCTGAAAATGCCGACTCAATTCCCAACATAACTGTGGTTTATTTCGTGTCACGTGTTTTTGTTTCGTCTTGGTCGCTGTGCACACGCGTCACTGGTTGGTGGTGTTGTGCGCATGCGCGAAACTGTGTGAGCTGGTCTTTGGCCGGTCTGTCGTCTTGTTCCGTGGTCCTGCTTGTTACAATAAAAAGAGTGTGAAAAGGCAGTCCAGTGGTGGTGGTTGAGCTGATGGAGAAGTAATGTTACACTTACGACTAGTGCTGAAACGATTACGTCTTTTCCTTAGTGGCTCAGCTGATACTAGTGTTGAAACGATCTCACCGGGTACTCGTTAGCTCGCTCGCCAGAAACTCGGCTCGTTTGTGCGGCCAGCTCGTTTGCACTAACGAACACCGTACACCGTAATCCGTACACATGGCAGTACAAGTCGAGCGGGGAGTCGGAATTTTTTTTACGACTCCCTAGTCGATCGAGAGTCCAGTCCCGCGCAAAGTGAAAATCACTCGCAGTTACAGTGACTGCATGCCGCCTGCAGGACACTGAGTTGTTTCAGTTGTCTGGTTGCAGCTTTGGTGGACTCCACTGATGTCTTGTTCCGCATCTGCTGACCTGCTGCAGGACAAAGTTCTGTCAACTCTCGATTCGAGTGAAAGTAATTAGTTACGCCCAGTCGTTTGGAAGTTTTCTCCTGCGATGCAGCGAAGAACAGGGCTACAGTCTTTGCAAAACGGTCTATTCTTACAAAGGCTGCTCAATGGCGGCGCTGAAAAGACATCTCGACACCAAACAGCAGTCCGAAGTGAAGCAGCAGCAACCCCAAACGCCGGCGGTGATAATTTGGACCAGCTGAAAAAAATCGAACTTAGGAAACAAATATTAAAAAATCATTATTTGCCACATCAGTGAAACTCGTTAGCTCGCTCGATAGCTTGCTCGTTAGTGGAACTGATCGCTCGTTTGTTATAGATACGCTCGTTTCAACACTAGCTGATACCATAACGATCGGCTTTTCGGCTATTACGATTATTATTGTAACTACATCAGTACGTGTACGTTCTGTGAATTTCAAAATGTTTACGAGTCCAACATCGCCAACGACGGAAAGCGGGCGCATAGATCCGATGATCCCGCAACAAGTCCGTCAGCTGTTCGGACTGACCAGACAAACACAGACAAGACAGAGGCAACGCAGTGGTTGCAACCCAAGAGCTGATGGTGCCCTTCGCCTGTGACTTCGCTGACTCCGACGATGAAGTCAGAGAAGCCGGCCAGGGGTGCAGATCGGCGGATTTCGACGGGTGAACTGAATTGAGGAACGCCAACAAGTAACTAGTTGCTTCTCCTGTCTATGCCAAAACAGGCCCAGACGCCAGACCTAGCTCGTCGTCGAGCAAACTGGTTCGGGAACTGTCGACAGAACGGAAAACACGAAACTGAAGACCACTTTACTGTCTTTAGCTCAAGACTACTCGCACATGGAGGGAACTCCAGCCCCTGCAGCTAGTGTAGACACATACTGAGCCTGCCAGTCCTGCATGCTGTATGTAAGAAAAGTAGTCAGTTCAAAAGACGGCGACGGTGATCGCGCCAATGTTTCTCAGATCGCGCTTGTACTTTTACACGTACATCGATGTTGCAAGTGTACAGTCATGTACATATTCGTGTCGAACTCGCAACACTTACGTCTTTCGGTGCATGCATGCTTTGTGCGACCCCCAAAAAGGGGAGAAATCCCGTACCGTGCGTAAGTACCATTCTACTCGTTTAGCCGATAAAATCGAAATAACCGTTCGATCTATTTCTTATCGAGTAAGTAACGAGTAATCGATATAATCGTTTCAGCACTACTTACGACATGGTGTTACACTTACGACATGGCCATGGTTCTATTTTACCGACTTTGAAGATTTGGGGATCGTTGGAAAGCTCTTGATGAGAAACACGCTGATCATCTGCGTCTTGTTTCAAGCTTTCCGCTCGTACCTCACATGACTGCCTTTCCTTCAAGAAACATTTGTTCTGTGTTGTGCGACTTTGGCTTCGTTCTGGAATACTCCTTGTGTCGTCGCTGACAAACTCGGCTCCGAGAAGCCCTTCCCGATTTTTTCCCAGCTTAGATCGATATTTTCCCAGGTAGAGGACTATCCTCTGGTTGTCTTCCCCAAGTGTCATTAGAATACGCGCGTGAACTTCTAAATACGAGCGGCGAGTCAAGAGCCTGTTTTCTCTTGATTTGGAAGACAAATGGTGTGGTCCTTTAGTTGCTGTTGAGTGTAGAAGGCTGCTTCCTGCTGTAAATTGCTTAGTCGCATGTGGGATATTGTAGATGAAGACAGCAGTCGGCCAAGTGAGCTTGACATTGTGATATCTACCCTATTGTGCGTTGAACGATTACGAAATGTCTAACTTGAATGTTGTACACGCGAGCACGCCAAGCAGAGGCTGACAATCACTGGCGAGATCAATCTCCAGACTGCCAGGAGTAGTTCGAGCAAGTTTGAAGCGGAAAGACAGCTAACTGGGCAGGCCAGGATGCCTTTCCACCCTCTTTCTCTCTCAAATTGCCGAAAAGTCGAGTATCTCGCTCGAGCGTTTTCAAAACCTTTCTCTTGGTTTCGCGTCCCAAATCGTGAAACCACGCGAGGATCAACATGAGTTTCTTCCAAAAACGCAAACTCATCGCGTATTTGTACTATTCGCACAAGGTTACATAAATCGCGCCGAACGACGCCATATTTATAAGTGCCTGCGCGTGAACAGCCGTGCCCGAGGTCAAATTCACTGCTTGAGTGACGGGCTTTCTGGACGTCTGACAGCTATTCAGTCACTCACAAGCCAGTCATTGTGCTAAACAGATCTTCTTTAGTTCTCTATCGGAAGTGCGCCATGTCATTTCGCTCATGCTATACATAAACGGTACAAGCACGTGCATGCCTGCACGTGCGTACCTCCACGTGCGTACATAGTGCTACATACAACTGCATGTACGATATCTACAGACGTCTGATAGCTATTTCAAGTACCTGTCAGTCAGAAGTAGTAGAACCCATAGCGATGGATAAAAGGCACACATGCAAGAAAATGCAGCCAAGGGGGGGGGGGGGTGGTGGTGCTTTTCCTTTTGCTTCAAAATAGTTGCAGTGATCAGCATAACTACATATACTGTATCATCTCTAATATAAGCACAGTCTCCAATAATAGAACACCCCGGGGCGGCATTCAAAAAATAAAGTGCTCAGTCTCCATTATAAGCACACTGTGTAAATTCATTATCTGTACCGGCGAAAAAACCCTGAAATGTGTGCGTCTGACATGCATTTGGCCGTGGCAACATGCCTATGAAAGGAGGTGGAAATAATAATGGAACAGTCACCAATAAAGGAACGTCTCCATTAATAGCACCGGGCGGAGGTACATTGAAAAAATAAAGGACCGTGCTTATAATTATTAGAGATAATACGGTAGTTGTACATGACAGTAGAGTAATTAGTATACATGTCCCCGTAGATGATTCCAAAAGGCTTATTTTTCAATTTTATTTCCCTTGCATATTGACTTTATAGTTCCTTTCAATTGCAGTATGAAAATAAAGTACACCTTGACGTATAGCATGAAAAGAGCTTCATTTTGATATGCATGTCATGCTATTCAAAAGATGGGTTCAGGTACATTCAAATGGGACTTCGGGTGTATGGGCACTTCGCGAATAAGGACATTTTTCTGATGCCCCACGGAGTGTTGTTACTCACCAAACTAACTGTAGATGCAAACCGCACATTAAATGATTTGTTTTGCCATTATCTGAAAAAGCGATGAAATGGATTTAGCGGGTTTGACATTCCACCTCTTGGACTCGGAAAAGAACATCTTGTAGAGAAAGAATGAAAATGGCCAGTGCGTCAATTCTGTGCTACTACTGCCCACACTGGTTAAGGCTGGTACTCACCGCAAACGTATCTCTGTTTCTTCCACTCGGCTTCGGGGATTTTTCGCACACCGAAATCAGCTCCATATGTGCGCGGGTAATAGCAGTAGTTGTTGGCCATAGCTATGCAATGCCGATCCGGCACTAAGAGCTTTCTCGTCTTGTAGTGATAGCCAAACTCTTTGAATGCGTTTTGCAGGCAGGCCTGAGAGTCCTTCTGCATCAGCACAAAGTTATTACCCAGTCGCTTGCACACATCTTCGCGATTTGTTACGTTTGGAGGCGTGCGGTAATCGTTCTCCGGTTGTACAATGTGCCACCCGGCGCATTTATAGTGGTTACGCTTGGCTAAAGGATGCATAGCGCCGAGGACCGAGCCATGCCCACACAGACATAGGCGTGCACGCACACACACACACACACACACACACACACACGCACGCACGCACACACGCGCACACACATACACACAAACACGCGCACACACGCACATACACGCACACACACACGTACACACACACATACACACGCACACACACATACATCCACATACATGCGCACATACACCCACACCCGCCCACACAGACGAAAACACAAACAAAAAATCTGGTCAATACAAATTTCATTTGAAAGACTGTCAAATCTTTTAATTAGAGCTACAAGCCAGAATTTGTGAAGAAAATCTCTGCCAGCACACTATTAGATGGCCATACCACATTAGGAGCTGTCCGTAAATATTGATATTTTTATCACGGAACAAGTTTATTTCGTTTCAACCCAACCCCTCCCTCCCTCCTGTCCACTCAGAAAGTAAAAGGTTTTTCAATAAAAAATAAAATAAAGTAGAAAGGAAAAGGACATTGTGGAAACGAGTTAAGAGTAACTCTCCACCACTGTAACTAGATACTATATACAGTCAGAAAGTGCAACAACTAGGCACAAAACTGACAGAGTACTGAGACATTCGACGTCCTGACACCTAGCTTCAACACATCTCCATAGCGCTAACTGACAGCCTTCCAACTTGGAAGGTTCAAGGTTATGGAAAGACCAAAGAGGGGAAGGCAAGCGCAACGAAAACGAGCACAAGCTACAGTCCCAACGGAACAAAGAATGTCGATTGTTACTGGACGATGACGAGACCAGTAGGCGATTTGACAAAGCGGCATTTTTTGTTCCGTTGGGACTGTAGCTTGTGCTTGTTTTCGTTGCGCTTGCCTTCCCCTCTTTGGTCTTTCCATAACCTTGAACCTTCCAAGTTGGAAGGCTGTCGGTTAGCGCTATGAAGATGTGTTGAAGCTAGGTGTCAGGACGTCGAATGTCTCAGTACTCTGTCAGTTTTGTGCCTAGTTGTTGCACTTCCTGACTGTATAATCTCTATCTAGCTACGATGGTGAAGAGTTACTCTTAACTCGTTTCCATATGTCCTTTTCCTTTCTACTTTTATTATTGGATCAATACCCGAGTATAAAATAAAGGTTGGCATAATGCAGGCAAATGCAACAAAAGTTGAGTGTGTGTCACTGCTTCTACTTTCATGTACGTGAATCAATGTTTTCTGAAACGAAATTGATCAACCCCCTCCCACCCCACAACGAAAATATTTCGTTTGTGAAAAAAGGTTGATATTATTTAATTATTTATGGACGGCCCCTTAGGAGCTGTCCAGGACACAGATCCGCGCTATTGTGTGTGTGTGTGTGTGTGTGTGTGTGTGTGTGTGTGTGTGTGTGTGTGTGTGTGTGTGTGTGTGTGTGTGTGTGTGTGTGCATGCGTGCGTGCGTATACCGGTGACGACTGGGGAGCTCATCTTATTCAGAACCGATTACAAGATCTGTAGAAAAGGAAAAGGACCAAGGAACTACACCTTACACTAACACACCACACTAACATACCACACTGTAGGCGACAATGAGCTTACGCGATAACAGTGCACAGCACCTTAATCCTTGGCTCTCCATCCGAGCACACCTGATGAGCCGCCATTCTAAGATCCAGTTGTGAATTCCCTAGACTCCCACGGTTCTCTCCCGTCCTTATCTACTCTGGCCCCGTGACATACTGGAGCCCTTTATAATTTTAACCACAGATTTTGTATGCCTCGATCTATTTCCTTAGCCTTTCCTCGATAAACTGCTCCCTTTACATAAAGTTGTCATTTCATTCTTCTTGCAGGAGATCCCCTCGACAGGCCAAAAGCCTTTGGGAAATCCTTAAATATAATAAATACCAAAAAAAAGAATGAATGAAAAGGGATGAATGAACTCCACAATACGTGGAAGGCTCTGTCATACTGTAAGTCTGCAAGTGTGTAGGCGCGTTTAAATTTCGGCCTCCCAGGGCTAACACACATTTCGGCCGCATTGAAATTTCGGCCTGTTCTGCTGCTGCCTGCATACACATTATCATAATATGATCTATATTATAGAACCTTGCAAAACAGATCTTCGGTCGCAATAAATTTCAGGCCAAAATTGCCCAGGGTGTTCGAAAGATTCAAAAATTTCGAACTCTCGTAACTTGGTGAATTCTTCAGTCTTTTCGGTTTCGGAGAAACGAATTATGTAGGTCGAAAAGAAAACTCTCAGCTGTCGTCTACAACAAATGCTGAAGCAATGAATTATCGGATTTGTTACTATCTCGAAAATAGAGGTGTGAATGATCATCATTCTACTCAACAATATATATTTTGGCAATGGCACTTGTCGGGAAAAATAGCAACTTTGCACTCCATTTGACATTTGAACAGATGCAAAAATAGCAACTTTGCACTCCATTTGACATTTGAACAGATGCAAAAATAGCAACTTTGCACTCCATTTGACATTTGAACAGATGGCATTTGCACTGTGAGAAGACAGAAAAACACGGCGAACTTGTTCATGCTTAGCGTAATTCCGCGCATATAAGCCCATGGGCTTATAAGTTATATGTGAAATAATGCAGTTTGGGAATAAAATATCCAGTAAAACATGTTCGTTTTTTAGCCCATGGGCCAATATTCGAATTTTGAAGGTTCTCGAAAAAGAACAAGTCCGTGCTCATAGTGGGTCTATCATATCCTACTGGCATAGTAAACTACTAAACTCCACTGACCTGCACTGACCTGCACTGACCTGCACTGACCTGCACTGACCTGCACTGACCTGCACTGACCTGCACTGACCTGCACTGACCTGCACTGACCTGCACTGACCTGCACTGACCTGCACTGACCTGCACTGACCTGCACTGACCTGCACTGACCTGCACTGACCTGCACTGACCTGCACTGACCTGCACTGACCTGCACTGACCTGCACTGACCTGCACTGACCTGCTGTACCATGGTAGCAAGAGTGCATATTATGAAAAAATTCTACTTGACAAGTGAGTCGCGCGTGTGCCTGTTTATTAGCCCATGGGCTTATAAACGGAGGTGGGCTTATATTTGGATATAGGCCCACGGGCTCATATGCGCGGAATTACGGTAGCGCGCTATCTGCGAGAAGTTGTATGCCGTCTGATACTGCTCATAATGTTTTCTGCATTTCACGCGCCGAAGGTACACGACAGTGCTGCCTTCTGGCTATGGATTGTAAATGGTGGTGCCACAGATCCTACGCTATGATCAAAGAGTTCAAGTAAGGTGGAAGCAAGTTTTACTGCAGCTCCAAGTTTCACGCTTGCACGATCATCAGGCCAAACATTGGGACATAACCCACGTTAAAATACAGTGGAGATCGGATATACAGTGAAAGCTGGTTAAGAAGAACACTGATAAGAAAAACTTTCGCTTTAGAAAAACTAGTGTTCATACCTCTATTGGATAAATCACTGTGTATTCACTGGGTATAAAATATGGATAAGAAGAACTCCCGTTATTGCGAACAAAATTAATACCATTGGTCCCTTGATGTTCGTCCTAAGGAGGGTTGACTGTAATGACCTTGCAAATAACGACAGATTGAGTTTAGCGACACAATTCTGTTGCCCAAGTCGTTTAGTAAGTCCTTTGTGAAAATCGGGTTTAGTGACAGATCGAATATAGTGACATTTTGTTCTCTCCCGAAGGAGTGTCGTTATATCCAATCTCCACTGTGCTAAGAAGAAGGACACACTTCAGGCTCTTGAAGAACATCTTGAAATCTTTTGATGAAGTTTCAAGATGAGGGAAAGATACAAACGGGGAAAGGTCTGAAGAACAAATCGCCTGTCATCACCAGGACTGGAACCAGGAACCCTCGCTTGAGGCCAGCCATGTTCTTAAAACACTTGAGCTATGGTGTCGCCGTCGTCCCCATGGCCAGCAATCAAGGACATCTGAGAGTTGTAATTTTTGTACTCCTCCAAGGTGTGATTTTTGGCGTGCTGGGCCAAGCACAAGGAAGCCATCTGCAAAAAAACTGCAGAAAATGGTTGTTGTTGGATCCTTTGGTGTAATCTTTGTTTCTAGTCGAAGCTAGTTGCTGTTTGGAGCAGAAACGCAGAAATTGACTATTTTCTGCATATACTCATACATGTACTCATGTACTCAGGCATGCAGTCTCACTCGTATTTTAGCTCTTTTTCTGAAATGGATGCTGCTCTGCGCCCCTTGGTGAACATTTCCTGCGCTCGTGGAGCAGCTGAAAAGGACCACTGGTATGTCTGGTTCCTGGTTTGAAAGTGGAGAGTCGACTTTTGTGCCTTGAAAAAGGAGTAGAGAGCGATAAAGGTACGTCTGTGGCCTATTTTTGAGTGCTCCTCGTACATTTTTGATCGTGATAGAAATTCTCAGACCAAAGTCAGACCAAAGATGATGGCCGTACAGTTTTCTTGTGGATTTTTTAGTTGTTTCATCTCGTATCTATGTCAGTATCGTGATGGTGAAGTGGAGAGGGTGATTTTCTTTCTCTCGGCTTCGTTCGGCCGACTTTGCTTCGTCCTCGTTGAAAAGTGATCCTGAAAAAAGGTCGATTTGCAAAATTATGTTGATTTTCAATAGGGGTGAAACAATTATACCGAATACTCGAGTACTCGCTCGGTTTTTTCAGAAATAATCGTACTCGGAATAAATCAGAGTACTCGTTCATACGTGGTACATGCATTTACCACAGAAATCTGCAGTTTCAGAGCAGCAATCGGCAGATATTGATGTGCAGACTGTGTGGTGAACATTTGTTCAAGAGTAGAGAGAGCCCAAATGACCCAGCAACCAATATACCAGAGAAAAATGACTGCCATTCGGTTCAATCAGGGGTGTATCATGTGATTTTAAGGCCCTCGGTGTGCAATTTTTAGGAGATGAAGAATACTCGAATACTCGAATATTCGCTCGGAGAAAATCAGAGTACTCGAACTCGGGATCTCAATGCCAACTTTCACCCCTAATTTTCAATGTACGTGGTGACATGCGATTGCTGGCTATGAGCAGAAACCTTTCGACACGATCTTCCGACTTCGTAACTCATGCTTCCTGTGAATCCACACAGGCGGGCTGGAAGCAGCCCTCACTGTAACGCACACACTTCACACACTTCACACACTTCATGTACAAACTAGCTCGCGGCACTGCTTTAAAACTGCTTTCATGAAAAATCAAAAACAGGCGCAGTAAAACGTGTGACTAACGACCGCCCCCCCCCCCCCCTCGGGGCCAGAGAAAGCGGTTTTTAGTCGCAGGTGGTCCCTAGTTAGAGGTTTGCACCGCTCAACCATAATGTGAATGTGAGACCGTCCGTGCCTGGCAAAGTGGTCTGTAGTACCAGGCTGGCCGCTAGTCACGGTGGTCTTCAGTTACAGGTTTTACTGTGTGAGGAATATAGTTTTTTCATTTTTTTTTTAAATAGAACACAAACCTACAAATCATGTTGAAAGACAAAAAGTACATTGGACTGGGTGAGTATCATCATACTCCCCCAGAGTGCGCAACTGGGACGGGGTTGTGGGGCGGCGTAATCTGTGAGGTACGTCATTTTTTGGGTCGGACTTGCCTCGTTCCATCGACGCAGACACGCGGCGCAACGCAGTCCACACTTCCCCTACTCATGATGTCATTATTATACCGTGCAACAATTTGGTATTATGGAAAGTTTGGAAACCCCCTCGATAGGCGAAAGCCGTTGGGGAATCCTTAAACAAAAAATTACTTTGAAGTACAAAAAATTACAAAACACGGATTTCGCCCTCCCAGATCTGATAAGTGAAGTTCCGCACTCTGGGGAGTTATGCACTCTTGGTATCACCAATACGCCCTTACGTATCCAGTCGCCAGACGGCTCTGTGAGTTTAGGCGTGGCGTAAACATCGGGCGAGTAGTCCACGATCATCTCGAACGGTATGTTTAATGCCTGGGCAGAACGCAGCAGCCCGACGGCCAGTAGCAGAAGCGGCAGCAACCGGCGTGACATGTCTGCAGCAGTGCAAGCCTGCCACACGCTACCACAACCGTTTGTCATTCACTTCGCAGCGGGAACGGTGCAGGCCACGACACCTGCCTCGGTCTTGATGCCGCCGGTTCCTTTGCAAGTGTCCGCTGGCTCTCTGCAGGGACAGAGAGAGCAGAGAGAGAGAGAGAGAGAGAGAGAGAGAGAGAGAGAGAGAGAGAGAGAGAGAGAGAGAGAGAGAGAGAGAGAGAGAGAGAGAGAGAGAGAGAGAGAGAGAGAGAGAGAGAGAGAGGGGGAGGGGGGAGTGCACGTTCTACACTCAGTTATTGTGCAGTGTGCAACAACGAAATGGCATGAGATGGCTGTGTGAGAGTGTGTACTTTGTGCATACACAATAACTAGATGTATGTTTCATGACTGCTGCTCAAGAAAAAAACTTGATATCATTACATGACGTGTGAGTACATTGTTCGAATCGCCTGAATCTCACGAGTCCGGTGCAGTTTTAATCGTAGTTCTACGTTGAGTATGAGGTAGGGGTGAAACGAGTATCTATTTTGACCAATCGATCCCTCATTCATAATATTCGATCGAGGATCCGATTATTTCGAGTATTTTATCAAAATTCAAAAGCAATAGATTTGTGGGTTCTCGACCAATTCGGAAGAAATTATCTGTGAACATAGAACACAAGTCGCCAACGTCTTGTACAGAGTGTAAAGTAACGATTTTCATCAGTACTTTCGTTTCTCAGAACGGTAACTAACGTTACTTGCCGTGGTGATCGCATCGTCCAAGTCATAAAATACTGACTCAAAGGCATGCATAACGCATGCATACCAGTGGACGAGCGGTACAACCAAAGTTTTTGAAAAATAGAATGCCAGTACAGTACTAAAAAAACAACAAAAACAAAAACAAAATGTAAAAAAGAGAAGAAACACATGAGAACGAGTTATGCAGCAACTACCCATGACTGTAACAAGATGACAAACGGTCAGACAGTGCGATAATAGGGCACACAACTGACAGATTACTGAGACATTCAGCGACCCGAGACCTAGCTCTAACACATCTCCAGTGTGCAAACCAACAGCCTTCCAACTTGGAAGGTTCATGGTTACGTAGGACCGAAGAGGGGAAGGTGAGCGCAGCGAAAATGTGCACAAGCTAAGTCCCGCGGCAACAAAGGATGCCGACTGTTACAGGACGATGATGAGACCAGTTAAAGGGGAAGTTAAGGCAAAAATCAAAATTTCACCAGTTGTAGTCTTCGGGGTGCTGAGTCGAAGGGTCGTGGTCCGAGGAAGCTGAGACGCTCCCTTCCTACTTTAATCCCAATCAAACTCGCGCACTTCCACCGAAACTGGGTGACTGCGCCCTACTAGATGGGGATTTGTATGCAAAATGTCTCTAAAAGCGCCATTTCGTTCTTATAAAAGCATGGATGACCGCGATTGGCCCATATGTTGTAGTCTTTTGGACGCTGAGTCGATTGGTTTTGGTCCGAAAAGGCTGCGATGCAGCGTTCCTCCTTTATTCCCAATCGAACATGGTGGAACAAGCGGTCACGTGCTCCTGCGTACACCAGTCACCTGGTCACCGTGCCTGCAGGGTACAACTTACTAGCCTGTTTGACCTTTTTTGGGTGCAGTCCTGTCACTCGAGTTGAACTCGAGTTGAACCTTGGTGTGAAAGTTGTCGCCTGATGGCGTGGTGACCAGGTGACTTGGGCACCCAGGAGCACGTGACCGCTTGTTCAACCATGTTCGATTGGGAATAAAGGAGGAACGCTGCATCGCAGCCTTTTCGGACCAAAACCAGTCGACTCAGAGTCCAAAAGACTACAACATATGGGCCAATCGCGGTCATCCGTGCTTTTATAAGAACGAAATGGCGCTTTTAGTGACATTTTGCATACAAATCCCCATCTAGTAGGGCGCAGTCACCCAGTTTCGGTGGAAGTGCGCGAGTTCGATTAGGATTCAAGTAGGAAGGGAGCGTCTCAGTATTCTCGGACCAAGACCATTCGACTCAGCACCCCGAAGACTACAACTGGTGAAATTTTGATTAGTGCCTTAACTTCCCTTTTGATAACAATGCGGTCTGACTACAATTCGAAGCAGCAAAGCAACACACCACCCAACTTGGGTGGGTCAGCAATATCGGAGATAAAGGAAGGGGGAAGCTTTGCGAAAACGAATTGTAGAAAACCGGACGCCAATATCTAACGGTACTCCTCATGCATGACACTATCGTGGACGAGTTGACTACAATAACAAGTAGTTCCACACGACGTACGTTTCGCCGTGTTGTTATTGACGGCTCATCAGGTGTGCAAAATTTATACTCAGATACTGAGCCAGTAATAAAATGTAAAAAAGAGAAGAAACACATGAGAACGAGTTATGCACGTCATGTGAAACTACTTGTTATTGTAGTCAACTCGCCACAATAGTGTCATGCATGAGGAGTACCGCTAGAGATTGGCGTCCGGTTTTCTACAATTCGTTTTCGCAAAGCTTCCCCCTTCCTTTATCTCCGATATTGCTGACCCAACCAGGTTGGGTGGTGTGTTGCTTTGCTGCTTCGAATTGTAGTTAGACCGCATTGTCGTGTTATTAACTGGTCTCGTCATCGTCCTGTAACAGTCGGCATTCTTTGTTACCGCGGCACTTAGCTTGTGCACATTTTCGCTGTGCTCACTTTCCCCTCTTCGGTCCTACGTAACCATGAACCTTCCAAGTTGGAAGGCTGTTGGTTTGCGCACTGGAGATGTGTTAGAGCTAGGGCCCTGGTCGCTGAATGTCTCAGTAATCTGTCAGTTGTGTGCCCTATTATCGCACTTTCTGACCGTTTGTCATCTTGTTACAGTCATGGGTAATTGCTGCATAACTCGTTCTCATGTGTTTCTTCTCTTTTTTACAATTTTGTTTGTCGCTATCTCGATAATTGCATTGAGGCACTGAATCACAGTGCCCAGACGCAGTAAATGCACTGCGACCCTGAAAAGGTTAAGAACGCACCCCTAGCCAGAAGCAGCCCACCAGTATGAAACAGAGACCGCTGGAATTGGTGCTGCACTCGAGCACGGAAATCAGGGGTCGGACTTCAGTTGTCATCACAGTACATCAACACGACTGTATGTAGCGTACCTACCAACCATCTTGATCTGGCCGGGACCGTCCCGATATCGACGGTGGTAATAGGCACTCAAAAGTGTACTACTAGTTGCAGGCCTCACAGCTAGATTTGTAAACATTTTCATACCTAGGTGAGTCGTTGTCCCGATCTCAGGTTTGCAAAGGCTGCCAGGCATGTTCTGAGTCACGGGCAATTCCTAGTTCCGGGCAGTGCTGGGCCCCAACCTGCCCGGATCAGAGGAGTGTTGCTGTATTGACGATGGGTACATTTACTGTGGGAATTACTAGCCCCCACCCCCAACCATCCGTGCCGGTTTGATTTGCGATGCAAAATAAAACAAATACAATACAATGGGCGCTTTCGATTACACGATTGCACAATTCTGGAACTGTTTTTCTTAATTCTGGAATGACCAGAATGAGCGGATTCCGGCCTTGTAAACGAACGACTGGAATTCACAACGCATTTTATTCATGTCATGTCACAAACAAAATTGATGAATCGTAAAAAGGGATCACGTACACCCTCGCGCGGACGTGGACCCAGCATCGCGCACACGCCGGCCAGGGAGGCTCTTCGCGCGCTTGAGTCATGACCAGACCGGTAACTAGGGATGTCCACAAAATGTTTTCGATTTTTTTGCATTTTGGGTAATTTTCACACTTCTTTTGCAATTTGGGTAATTTTCACACTTTCCATTTTGGGCCAATTTATCCAGCAAACTTGCCGCAGGAGTCTCACTCGCGGCTTGCCCGGAAGATTCTACGATGGAGATGGCGTCGAATTCTTCCTCGCTCTTCTCATTGGAGTCGGAGTGGATCTCCGTCAACACACTTGGCTTGCTGCATGCCATTTCCACCGATGTTTCTGTAACAGCTGTAGCTATTCAGGCAATACGGCTCGACGACTCGTAGATCTGGTACATGAAGCGCCATTTTGGTTGTCATGGCAACAGTCACATTTTTCGCGCAATTTGGGTGATTGTTTGCAATTTTTTAAAGGGGAAGTTAAGGCAAAAAATAAAATTTCACCAGTTGTAGTCTTCGGGGTGCTGAGTCGAATGGTCGTGGTCCGAGGAAGCTGAGACGCTCCCTTCCTACTTGAATCCCAATCGAACTCGCGCACTTCCACCGAAACTGGGTGACTGCGCCCTACGAGATGGGGATTTGTATGCAAAATGTCTCTAAAAGCGCCATTTCGTTCTTATAAAAGCACGGATGACCGCGATTGGCCCATATGTTGTAGTCTTTTGGACGCTGAGTCGACTGGTTTTGGTCCGAAAAGGCTGCGATGCAGCGTTCCGCCTTTATTCCCAATCGAACATGGTTGAACAAGTGGTCACGTGCTCCTGGGTGCCCAAATCACCTGGTCACCACGCCAGCAGGTGACAACTTTCACACCAAGGTTCAACTCGAGTTCAACTCGAGTGACAGGACTGCACCCAAAAAAGGTCAAACAGGCTAGTAAGTTGTACCCTGCAGGCACGGTGACCAGGTGACTGGCGTACGCAGGAGCACGTGACCGCTTGTTCAACCATGTTCGATTGGGAATAAAGGCGGAACGCTGCATCGCAGCCTTTTCGGACCAAAACCAGTCGACTCAGCGTCCAAAAGACTACAACATATGGGTCAATCGCGGTCATCCGTGCTTTTATAAGAACGAAATGGCGCTTTTAGTGACATTTTGCATACAAATCCCCATCTCGTAGGGCGCAGTCACCCAGTTTCGGTGGAAGTGCGCGAGTTCGATTGGGATTCAAGTAGGAAGGGAGCGTCTCAGCTTCCTCGGACCACGACCATTCGACTCAGCACCCCGAAGACTACAACTGGTGAAATTTTAATTTTTGCCTTAACTTCCCCTTTAATTTTTTTAGAGAACTTTCGAAAATATCCCGAAAACATTTTGGGTTTTTTCTGCACATTTTACATTTCCATTTTAGGAGAAAAAAGACATTTTTTGGACATCCCTACCGGTAACACACCGACTGTGCAATTCTGGAGCCAGTATTAGAAAAATTCCGCCCTCTCTTCAGAATTTACGGATTCGACGGAATTGGGTCAAATCAATTCTAACGACAGAATTTGTCACTTTTTGTGTAATCGAACTGTGCATCAACAATAACTAATTCTAGAATTGACCGAAATGCGTGTAATCGAAAGCGCCCAATGTAGAAGCTGGCATTTCTTTTTTTTTCAAATTCTTACTGTCGACAACTAAGGTTTCGAGGCCATCGCATGTGCATTGCGATAACGCTAGAACACATGCATACAATCAGCATAGCCACAAGCTGCCACGGAAAATAACCCTAAACATAGACGTACAAACCCGGAGCCAGCTTGGCTGCAATTGGAGCAGAAGCAGCGGTGGCGGCAGCGGAAGCAATAAAAGGCCAAGCACAGTTGGTGAAGAGCCGCAAGTAGCACAAAACACCCGTGGTCGTGCTGAATAATCTTACCGATTGTGGGACGAATTAGCCTGCGACAGCTCACACACCGACCGGAAAAGTCGAAATCACCGACGGTGGAAATACGTTCGGCACAAATTTCTGCAACCGGCTACGTCCTGAGATCAAAGGCGAGGCAAGGCGAGGCAAGGATAGGATTTTCTAAAGAAATTTATCCTGACTTCTCTGTACCGACTGGCCGCCAATAAGGAGAATGGATGCATTCACGAACAGCGGCGCGTACTCGTTGGGGAAATACTATGTTTGCTACACGCTGGGAAATCAAAGCGTTAGGTGATTGTCAAGTCTTTCAAGAAATTTGGCTCATCCACGCTTCGGCTTCCCTTCCTTCCAAAGCACGCCTTGTTCAATGTTGCTGAAAATAAAAAGATAGAACTAATACTTAGCATGCATGCTGCATCCGAAGTGGGATCCGCTTCGGGGTCTTCTTGGTGACGAAAGTAGCTCAAGATTGGTACGCAACTTGGGAGTGGTATTCCTTTCACGACCATGTTCCTAAACGTACACGCACATATATGTACCTGCAGGTTTGGTAGAGTTCGCAAATGACCAAGGGCAAGAGTACGCGTACCAGAGCAGGGAGTCTTTTACGGCTCCCGGGATCCCTGGTAGAATCTACCGACATATACCATCCATAAACATCATTTCTGAGGTACTAGGTGTAGACCTACGCATGGCAGAAAATAACTTGGAAATAATTCATGCCAGCGCCAAGTCTATAGAAGACAATTGTACAAGTCGATGCAGGCCTTCAAGAAGGTCTATGACCACCTGAGGCAGTCTGACTAGGACTGGGCAACCGACCGCCTCTGGGCAACCGACTAGCCTCTTCCGGGATTATGCCTCTGCTAAGTCTGCTTCTCCCACCCCAAGCCAAATTGTTGCCAATCCTGAGTAGCCAATCTTCACTGCTACTACCCTTCATAAAATAATAATAATTATAACTTTATTAGGATGACCCAAAGGCAAATCGCCTATCGAGGGGTTCACCGCATGGAATGGTTGTGGTATGACAAAGCAAAGAGGCAACCAGTGTTCGTGTGTATGTCGGGGGGGGGGGGGGGAGTTTCGAACTGTGCACAGTGAAGGGATAAATGTATGTACATGACCAAGGACAGGGTATACCGGACAAAGTTGCCATTTTTGGGAGCACCGGATTGGGACGTTTAACAGTATTGTGGTGATGAGTGCAAAATCATAAGAATTTGTTATAGAGGTTATAACTTATTATTATTATTATTATTATTCCTAAGTCCTCCTGGGGTTTGCCGCTCTCCGGTCCTCTTTCATCCCGTTCTCCCCTCTTTTTTGGGGATTCTTTGTACTTCGTCTTTCTTGTTTTTCTTGTTCCTTTGTTTTTTGTAGGACAGATTTTTGGTGTACTGATTTCGGTTGTTGTTGTGTCTGACTCTATTCCCAATATCTAATTCTGTGGTTGGTTTTCCAACTCATTGGGTTGTAGTTTCCATCATGAGTTTGATTCCATCGTGAGTTTGATTCCATCGTGAGTTTTGATTCTATTTGCTATTTTTCGTTCCATTTTTGAGCTCATATTTTATTTTCCTGATTTCTTCTCCAGTGTATGTTTTATTGCATTTTAATACATTGTGTTAATTTTGGCCCGTAAAAGAGGCTTGCACTTCAAAAAAAAAAAAAAATTATTATTATTATTTTAATATGGCAATAAGTAGGACGAGCTGAAGCGACATGTGGACTACTTTATTAACAATGTAAGCGATGGAGACGATGCAAGAAACAACCTAAAGGGTAAGGAAAAATACATGTAAGAAGAAAAAGGGCAATGGAAAAAAAAAAGATGATTCGAACAAGTTTTCGTACAACACTCTTCAGGAATCACCGTTGTACTAAAGAACAAAATGAGAACAAAGGAAATAATATAGCAATCAAGGTAGGGTGACACGATACAATGACAGCACTAGAATATCGAGGTGCGATTTCTCACAAAAGTGTGCAGAAAACAAGGGTATACAAGTAAGAACTAAGCGTGACAAGTGTGTATCAGCAACAAAAAACAAAAAAGTGAGAACGAATGATAATAATAACAATAATAAACAAGAAGGTGACAAAACACATTTAGGCACAAGTGGCAACAACGTTGCCACACTACACAACAGAACATTATTTGAACAATTTTAAGGTAATAACACTATCTTTCTGGACACACAAATTCGGCTTATGAATGCGCTGACAAACAGCTTCCAAAACTTGTAACTGCAAAAGATAACCATGACGAGCACGGCACAAAACAGAAAAACAGGAATCAGAATAAGTACGACAACAGTCAGTACTAGAAACCAAATGATTGTATACTGAAGACTTGTTATTACGAGACGGACGCACACAATCTCGACTCACTCGCACACCCTCACACTCACTCTCACCCTCACTCAGGTTCTGCAGAGCAGGTTCTGATTCGGACAGTGAGGGAGAAGGTGAGCTGAGTGAGGGTGAGAGTGAGTGTGAGGGTGTGCGCGTGAGTCGAGATTGTGTGCGTCCGTCTCGTAATAACAAGTCTTCAGTATACAATCATTTGGTTTCTAGTACTGACTGTTGTCGTACTTATTCTGATTCCTGTTTTTCTGTTTTGTGCCGTGCTCGTCATGGTTATCTTTTGCAGTTACAAGTTTTGGAAGATGTTGGTCAGCGCATTCATAAGCCGAATTTGTGTGTCCAGAAAGATAGTGTTATTACCTTAAAATTGTTCAAATAATGTTCTGTTGTGTAGTGTGGCAACGTTGTTGCCACTTGTGCCTAAATGTGTTTTGTCACCTTCTTGTTTATTATTGTTATTATTATCATTCGTTCTCACTTTTTTGTTTTTTTGTTGCTGATACACACTTGTCACGCTTAGTTCTTACTTGTATACCCTTGTTTTCTGCACACTTTTGTGAGAAATCGCACCTCGATATTCTAGTGCTGTCATTGTATCGTGTCACCCTACCTTGATTGCTATATTATTTCCTTTGTTCTCATTTTGTTCTTTAGTACAACGGTGATTCCTGAAGAGTGTTGTACGAAAACTTGTTCGAATCATCTTTTTTTTTCCATTGCCCTTTTTCTTCTTACATGTATTTTTCCTTACCCTTTAGGTTGTTTCTTGCATCGTCTCCATCGCTTACATTGTTAATAAAGTAGTCCACATGTCGCTTCAGCTCGTCCTACTTATTGCCATATTAAAATTATTGTCTCCTCGTCGAATTATTATTATTATTATTACATGTACTATCATTTGAAACTCGGATGTTATTATTATTTTTTCTTTTTTTGTTAGGGATTTCCCAACAGGCAATGACTATGATTGTTGCCTTTTTACCGGGAACCCTAAATGAGACTTTGTGTTATTGAGCCATAAATAAATGTAAAAAGGAAAAGGACATATTATGGATACGAGTTAAGAGCAACTCTCCATTACTGTAACTGGATACTATATACAGTCAGAAAGTGCAATCACTAGGCACAAAACTGACAAGTTCCAAGTTGGAAGGCTGTCGGTTAGCGCTACGGAGATGTGTTGAAGCTAGGTGTCAGGACGTCGAATGTCCCAGTACTCTGTCAGTTTTGTGCCTTGTAGTTATTGCACTTTCTGATTGTATATGTCGAAAGCCTTCGACAAAGTGCAGCATCAGACTCTAGTTAGGGGGTGATTATTATGTGCAGCTCCAGCCCGGGCTGATCAACAGGCGGGCCAGCCCGCCCGCAACGCGATCTCGGGGTTGTACACAAATCCACACAAAACCTGTGGTGCGTTTACATGGCAAGCGGGCTGGCCCGGCGAGGCGGGATCCCGCCTCGAGGCACCCGGGATCCCGGCTAGGCGGGCCAGAAAAAGAACAGACCAGCCCGGTCCAGAGTTTTATTATTATGGTGTCGACACTGCGTTCATACTACAAAATAGGTACTTTTACCTTTTGAGGGAAGTAACCTACTTATATATATATATATTAGTGCAATTAGGAAAATAATAGATGCAGACATGGCCAGACAACAACGAGTTCATGGAATTTTTAAGGATTTTTATGTTATTCAAGATCGATTTTCGTGTTCCGCTCATCAGTGAATAGTATCGGAACTGAGGGTACTGTGTACAAAAATAGAACATTTTATAACAGCATAATTAAAAGTGTGAACAAAAAAGGAAGTGCTACAGCATTACATAATAGTTGTCAAACATAGTGCTAATATATATAACTGAGTGTAGGCACAAAGCATGAGGTGATACAGTGCAACATGACACAACATTTACATCTGATAACCAGCTACGAGAACAACTTTAGCGCGACTACATGCTTCTTTTGTTTACAAAGAACAGGATTATGCACACGAATAAAATACAGCTTCCAGAACCTTCAACTGCTTAACATAACTTGCACGGCAAAAAACAGAAAAGTGAGAATCATCGTACACACTAAGACAATCTGGACGTGATAACAAGTGACAAAATACAGCTGACTTTTTGCTCACGTCGCTCTCTTCCGTCTCATCCCATCGTCAAAAATGGACATTGGAAATGGGTGGGCAGTAGCAGAGAACCCAGCAACGGTGACGCGGAGCAGCGGTCAAACGACTTGTGATGCTGGTGGAGATGATGGAGCCATGTTGGAGGCTGATAAGGAGTGCAGTGAGACTGAGCATCAAACGGATGATGAGGAAGTGACTGATGATGATGATGGTGGTGATGAGGACGATGATGATGAAGATGAGACGGAGGACGAGGATAAGGCGGAGGAGGTTGAAGGAAAGGAGCGGGATGAGACGGAAGAGAGCGACGTGAGCAAAAAGTCAGCTGTATTTTGTCAATAGATGACTTGCACAAAGATTGTCTGGGTTCGAGACGGGGCAAGTGGACCTTCTGACTCTGACTTCCCCACCTTTTGAGTTCGTGACTTTCGCTTTTTGCCTGATGATTCAGTGACGAACACTCGGCTAGTTTTTTTGGCTAGAGAGTAGAGTTGTTTTGATTCGGCTTGTATCGTCAAGCCGAAGCGCTGCTGCGCTCCTGAATGCACTAGCAGACGAGAGATGGAACTGAGGCTCCCATTCCATACGTTCCTTTCCGAGCCGGCCGGCCGGGAGGCAGAAAAATGAGGCGGAATATTATTTTAGTATCATTGGTGTAGGCTGCAACAAGCACGTCGTGGTCCTGAAGTGTGACTACTTTCCCGCAGTGGAAGCGAAGTCAAGCACAACGAAAGTTTGTGGACGTCTGAGAAAGAACTCGATTCCCTTTGATTCGGCTGCACTAGTTCCAGAGCGACTCTCTCCTGAGGACAGACTGCGGAGAGGCCAGGAACCTGCCGAGTCACG